TTGCATTAGTCACAGAAGCACTTCCAAAAATCTCCATTCTGGGGCTTTCTGAGTGCTAGGGGGCTTTTTCCTTCTTTCTTTCTTTTCTTTTTGATGAGGCAATCGGGGTTAAGTGACTTGGTAGGGTCACACAGCTGGTCTGTGTCAAGTGTCTGAGGCTGGATTTGAACTCAGGTCCTCGTGACTCTAAGGCTGGAGCTCTATCTATTGTGCCACCTAACTGTCCCCAACAATTCATGAAGGCTAGGGGGCTTTCTGAAGGGTGCCCTTTGTTCTTGCTGCTCTGGACCTACATGTCTTTGTTCACTGTCACCTGGAAGACTATAGGTTCTTTGTCTTCTCTTGCTCTGGCTTTTCTGGGTACCATAGTTTAGTAAAAGCATTGATGAGCTGGAGATTGTCTAAAGGAAGGCAATCAAGGTGACTGAATTCGAGCTAAATGTGGATCAGTTGAAGGAAATGTGGATTAATTTAGCCTGGAGATAGCCTGGGCCTAGAGTCAAGAAGATCTGAGTTCAAATTCACCCTCAGACTGTTAGCCATGTGACTCTGGGCAAGCCATTTGATCTATCTGCTTCAGTTTCCTCAACTATAGAATGGAGATAATAACAGGACCTCCCTTCCAGGACTGTTGTGAGGATTAAATAAGATAGTATTCATAAAGTGCTTAGCACAGCCCCTGGCACATGGTATGCAATATATATATATATATTACATATATATATAATATACACATATATACATACATACACATATATACTTATTTTTAATTTTCTTAAAATTGTCTTTTTTAATTGTCTTAAAATATCTAAAGATTTCATGTGGAAGAAAAATTAGACCTGTTCTGCTTGGCCCCAGGATTCAGAATCAGAAGCAATGGGGTAGAAGTTGCAAATAAGACAAATCTCAGCTTGATATCAGAATTAAAAAAAAAAAAAGAAAAGAAAACCTCCTATCAAAACCATCCAAAAGTGGAACGAGCTACCTTGGGACATCATGGGTTTCTTCTCACTTGAGAACTTTGAGCAAATGTTGTCAAATATATTGTAGAGCTTTTTGTTTGTTTGTTTTTGTTTTTCAGGTACCAGTTGAACTAGATAGCCACTGAGAAACCTCCCTGAAATTCTGTAGCATTATGAAATAATTCTGATTTTCATTAAAGTAAATGTTGTGTTTATATTTTTATGGACATTTCCAACTTGAATCTCATTAACAGCTTAACCTGAAATTTCTTAGGTATACTCAGCTCCTTCTTAATTTCATGTCACGATATTTTGGCTAATTTAATTTCCTCCTTGAATTCCTTCAGTATATCTATGAATTAGTTCTCTTTCTCTATGTTAATAGGATTTTCAAAATAAAGTGAATTGGTCATATTCTCCTATCCGTTTGAATTTGTACTTTTGGTGATAGCTCTCCAAAAGAGTATTTCTTTGGCAAATTAGTTTCAATGCTAGGGAAGAAAGAGGAGAGAGAGCCCATAAACAAAACTTATGCATTCAAACAAAATAATAGAGGATATTCGTTATAGCTGACCTACAGGGATAAAGTAAGGGATGCCTTAAATCTCCAAGTCTGCATCCAACACAATATGGGGGAATGGGGTAGCACCTCATGAAGATGTCTTCTCAGCTTTCCTTTTTGTATAGGAAAAGTCCCATCACTTGAATTTTTATAGCCAATTGCCCTTACTTTCTGGCAGTGACTGGTGGGGAAGCAAGGCTCTCCCCGTTGCTTCTACTCCCAAATCTGATTTAACTCTTTAATTCTACTGAGACAGTTTCTTGACTAAGGCATGAGGTAGATGCAGTGAACTATTTAATTAATATTAAGTTAATATTTACTCAATGACTTTTCTTTAGTATTTCTATGTTTAGGTGTCTTAAATCTCTAAGATGGCTAATAGGGAAGTGGCCAGAGCTACAATACCCCTTTATATAGTCCATTATCCATTTTGTTGTATCTTGAGATCTAGCTTCATTTCTGCTGTTACTATTGAATATATTTTTGCTCTGCTTTTTGCTTTGCCTTAACTACCCCCCTTCTTCTAATTAACAATATTTCTTTCACTGCATTGGACCTCTTTTGTTCATTTCTTTGAACACTTTCTCCTAAAAACTTTTTAAAGAGTTTCTGATAATTTTTTGGAATTTATTTATGCCTTTAAGGGTATCAAGAAACTAGTATCTTAAATGAGACAACTTGTAAAATGCTTTGCAAACTTTAAAGCACTTTATACATGCTATTATTATTAACGTCCTGGAAGTTTTTTTTTTTTTTGTTTTGTTTTTGTTTTTTGCTTTTCTTAGTAAGGCAGTTGGGGTTAAGTGACTCGACCAAGGTCACACAATTTGTCAAGTGTCTGAGGTCAGATTTGAACTCAGGTCCTCCTGACTCCAAGGCCGGAGCTCTATCCACTGCGCCACCTAGCTGCCCCCTGGAAGTTCTTTTCATACAACTAAGGATGATATTCAAGCATTTATTCTATACTGCTTCTATTAAAGTTCTACTCCAGGGTTTCAGAAGACATGGAGTTCTCAAAGGCTATGCTAGCAGTGCCTAGGTCTGGCAGGTCCTAACAAGCTGGAATGACTCTGTCCTAGGACTCTCTGTGCCTTGTACATTTATTCCATTTTGTAGGGAGGTGTTGTGTTTGTTTCCCATGCACGTTTTGTGTATCCACACGGGTCTCTCTAGATACAATTCACTCAGTGAAGTCACCTCCACCCAGCCTTCTCAGAGGGATAGTTTGATTCTCGCCAGGAGTGGAAGCAAGAGCTTGGCCACTCTGCTCTCCTCAGAGAAAGGGTACTAGGGTGGAATTATATCTGCCCTTCTAAATAAGTGTAGACGGATTAATTTTTAGGTTCAGCCTGAGCTCCTGATTGCTACGGGGAAGGAGTGCCTCAAGCTATATTTCCAAAGCTTGGCACCCTTCTCACCAAATTCTAGTTTTACAAATAATACATGTAGGCAGTGGCAAATCAACCTATTTATCCAAACCAATATCAAACAGAAACCAGAGAAGTTATACAGTTAAAAACACATTAGAGAATACACAGAGTAAAGTTCTTTTACTGAGTTTAAGATATTTCAGCTCAATCAAGAGAGTCTCATCTTATTCAAGGAAATTCCCCTAAGTGTCTACTGTAGCAAGATGGGTATAGGGACATTATTGAGGTGCTGGTTTATCTACATGTCAACTTCTTCCCAGAGTCTTAATATTCTTTCAGGGACTTGAAGAGACTCTGGAACCATATATCTTCTTTCAGGAAGCCAGAATCCACAAGATGAAGCTATCTTTTCTCCCTCAAGCTCTTGTCACCACAATGGCTCTCTCACTCCGACCTGGAGCATTGAGTAATCAAATTACACCAATGAAGAGAATCTTATGCAAATAGCTTTTGAATTGTGGATTACATTCGATTTTCTCTCCTAGACTGTAATTTGGAGCGGTGGAAAGCATGCTAGTTCTGGAGTCAGAAGTCAGTGAGATCCCTGTGCACCTCGTCTAACCCTTGGTTCAAATGGTCAATTGTATGGAACTCTCCTCTCACTGGAGGAGATTGATTACTCAATGTTCTGCACCTTTATAGGGGGTAGGCAGAGTTGGTTAGAGCTAGAGAGAACAGAGATCTGGGCTCTTCTGGATTCCATCTTCAAATGAGAAGACTTGTCATTTCAATCTCTCTCCAAGTCCATGAAGGGAAAGACACCGGAAAGAATCTGACATATATAACTAGTGACTGGCACATAGCAGGCACTTAATAAAATGCTTATTGACTGACCAAACTTAGTTATTTGAACTGGTTCAGTGAGGAAAAAACACTACATATACTTCGTAGGCACGCAATAAATATTTATTGAATCTAATATTCTAGCTCCTATCACTCTGCCAATTCTCAATTAAAACATTACTACCATTTTTAAAAAGGTTTAGCAAAGTTTAGGTCATAAAAAAAAACCACCTCTTCCCAACCACCCCTCCCTCACTATTGATGACCTCTGGACAATATCACCATTTTAATGATTTATCTTAATAATTATTTACACTTGTGGGAAATGAATATAAACTGCAGTGATTCACCCAAAGCTATTCCTGTTCTCGTTCCCTGGCTCTCCTTTTGGCCCTGGTTACGTTCTCTGCAACAGGCAAGGGGGTCGTGCTTCTCGGGTAACCTTATTGCGTTTAAGAATTTAGGGGAAGGTGTAGGTATCAAGGGACTCGAAGTGGACAAGACGTCTAGAGTGTCTAAGAAGGATGACTTTGGAATCTGAATAGAAGATGAAACAGTTTACGTTTCCTGGGTATGATCCACAGAGAAGCGCTAATATAGATAGGGGACCGCAGCTCCAGAGAGACTAGACAAGAGTGGGGGTGGGGAGGAACTGGCCATACAGAAGGCAGGCCGGGAAGGAGGAACATGACGTCCATGGCCCTGATTAGGGAGGCCACGCCCCTCAATCCTAACGGCCTTCTAAGACGGGCTAAGAGTTAGCCCCGCCCCATAGCCCTCCAGCCCCGCCCAACTGTGACGACAGCGCCCTAGGCCCGCCCCTCCAGTTAGCCCCGCCTCCTCTTGATCTCCGGGGACCCCAGCAGGGCCCACTCAAACTTCACAACAGACTCGAGTGCACACTCAGCTGTTTTACCCCCAAAACGACCCATTCATTGAAAAGCTCCCCAGTCACTTCCTTAGAGAAAGCCTCACGTCTTCCTCTCCTCTTAAAAGGGCTCCAGGCTCGGCCTCCTCTCTCTAGCTGATTAGCCCCACTCTTCTCCTTTTTCTCCTCCGCCCAGTCAGCCATCTACCCCTCCCGCTTTCCCCACGTGGTCCTCGTGACTCCGCCTTCCCCCGGAGGGTCACAGTCAGACCCGCCCCCGCTTCCGCCAGCGTGCACGCTGATTGGTTCCAGAGAGTCGCCCTTCCTCCTGGGCGGCAGAGTCGCTCCCATTGGTGCCCGGTCGCCATGTCGTGGCTCTGCCGTCAAAGCCAATTGGTGACGGCCGCTGCCCCGCGAGATACCCCCAGAGAGGCGTGTGTCGCAGCCACTTTTGCTCTGTCGGTTTGAAATCCCTACATCATGGCGGCGGCTACTGGCGCGGGCGGGGGCGCTGTCAGTACCGCTGCCGCGGCTTCGGGCTCGGATAGCTGTAGCGAGGACGCGTCGGGCGGAGTAGGGGAAGAAGCGGGAGGCCTGGAGAAGGACGACGTCATGCGGGCGGCCGAGGCTGTGGGGGAGAGCGAGGAAGACGAAGAGGATGTGTTCGAGGTGGAGAAGATCCTGGACGTGAAGACCGAGGCGGTGAGTGCGGGACCCGTGCCGCGGACTCGCCCTCCCCGAAGCGGTGGGCCACTCGCGCTAAGCTCCCGCCCTTTGAAGGCCCCGAGGAAAGGAGCTGGTGCTTGCCTCCAAACCCCGTGGCTACGCAGGGAGTGGGTAGGGGGCGGGAATGGCAGCTGCTGGGCCTAGACCCTCCGCTGGGGCCCAGACTCCCCGGGGTGAGGGCGGCGCTCCCCCCGGCTCAGGCCTGGGAGGATCCATTCAGCCCGGCCGCCTTTCACCCCCTGTCTCCGCTGGGAGCTTCCCGCGACCTGTCGACGCCCATCTCTGTCCGCCCTCTCAGCCCAAGAAGCCCACTTTGCAGGAGCTGGCCGTTGACACAGCTTGTCAAGGCTTTGGGGGCGTGGAAGCGGGGGAATCACTAGAGTGGCCGGAGCTGGGATAGCGCCGATCGGCTTCTCAGTGGGCTTAGTCTCTAGTCAGAGGTGAGTGTCCAGCAGAGGCCGAGGTCATTTCTGGCGTGGGGCATTCGACTGTGAGCTCCTTGAGAGCTGGAACTATTCCGTTTTTTGGGGGGTAGGGGAGTGCCTGTATCCAGTCCGTAGTACAGTGCCCGGTGCATAGTAGGCACTTAACGAAATGCTGGCTGACAGTCGAGGGTTCAGCAGTGAGCCAGTGAAATGGGAGTGGGCTTTGCAGCGGAGAGATACAATTGTAAAGGGTGCATTGGTACGTGGTGGGGAAAGGTGTAATAAAGAGTGGCGGTGAGAAGCCGCTGGAGCTTTGGCAGGTTGGGTGGGAGAGGTGATATTTTAATAAGGCTTGAAGACCTTTTCACTTGCTGAATGGAATAGATTGGAAATAGGAATACAAATAAAGGGTTTCGTGGTGGTGTTGGTGGGTTCAGGGGTTAGTACAGTTAAGATGTGAAATATTTAAGAACTGGATGAGGACTTTGGCTTAATGTTAATGTTTCTGAGTATAGGAAGATTTAATTAATAGTATTTGATGAGAGGAGTGGAAGATGATGACGGTAAACTTGCCTATAGGATGAAATGGATTGGGGCCTTGGTAAACATTTTGAAGAAGTCACAGAGGGTTGAAGGTGTAAAGCAAAAGACTGTATGAATGAATTATTATTAAAAAGGAAGAACAGAATCTTAATCTTTAGTTATAAGTGATAGAATAGCCCCAGCCAACAGTGATCATCTCTTCCCTCCCCCTCCAATTCTTATAGGATTTTTCTAAACACTCATTTAATTCTATTATATGCTGCCTTGTGTGGCTCTTTCTTGATTTCCTTGGTTTCAGTGAACTGTTTTAAACCTTTTCATATTCTCTGTGCATGTATAATATAGTACCTTGAATTTAGGAGCTACATAATAAGTTTTTGCTGATAATATTGATCTGTATTATAGAAAATATAGGGAATTCACTCTACATTAATATAATTAATTCTGTTGCTACATACACACAAATGCCTAAAGCCTTGAGAAGATTAACAAAGTAGAATATAGTAAAAATCTTAATTCTGACCTAATCTGTCTCGCTACAACCTAGTGAGGTAAGTGTAGGTTGTAATTATCACTCCCATTTTATAGATGTGTAAACAGGCTTGTAAAGGTTGCAGCATGCCCGTGGTAACATGGCTAATACATATCAGAGGGAAGACGAATCTAGGTCTTTATAATTCTCAACCTCATCACTACAGCACATAACCTGATCAGTCAGGCCTCTGTTTATTGTAGTAATAATAGTAGGTCACATCTATGTACTGCTTTAAAAGGCTTAAAGAAGTATACTATGCCCTGTCCAAGAATAGATCTTATTTAATGAACCATTTAGTAAGAGACCTAATACAAAATAAATTCATGGTTTCCATTTTAATACAATTTATTCTTACTCTTCTTTTAACCATCAACCATATGTTGACCATCTACCATGTACTGTGATGTGATGTGCCTTTTGGGGAAACTGTGATGTGCCTTTTGGGGAAACTGTGATGTGTGCTACAAAAGATGCATACTTCAAAAGAGTTGTCCTCTTGAGTTGGTACTGCTCACCTTTTACAAAGCAACAAAGAGATGTCAAAATGGTACAAACAATTAACTGTTATGAAGTTACTGAAAGGAAGAGTCCTTGTGGGCATTTAGCTGGACTAGAAAAACATAACCAGTAGTTGTATTGTAAAGCGAGGAATTAGAATGAGCACAGAGTCAGAGGCAAGACAAACAGGTGCTTAATAAATGTTTGTTGTAAGATGAGGAGCAAGGAAAGATTCGTGGAAGAAGTGTCACTCTTAACTTCACGAAGTTAGCTCCTGAAATAAGGAAAGTGTTTCAGCAGGCAGAGATGTGGGAGAGCATTCCAGGTACAAGGGATAGCATGGACAAAGGAGATGGGAAAGGGTCAGGAAATGGTAATGATTCTCACCTACTTATCTACCTAGCCTGCCCCAGTCTCTCTGCTGAACTCCAGTGTCAACTGCCTTTCACTTTCTCTTACTTTCCATATCCAATCTGTTGGTAAGGCCTGTTGATTTCACCTTTGCAACATCTCACCTTCTTCTCTGCTCTGATACTGCCACTACACTGGTGCAGGCCCTCATTACTTTACCCCTGCAATAACCTGCTGGTGGGTCTGCCTTCTTCAAGTCTCTCCCCACTCCACTTCATCCTCCATTCAGCCAATAAAGTGATTTTCCTAAAGCACAGGGCTGACCATGTTACCCACATATACCCTTTCCTCCCTGCCCCTCCGCTCCCCCCAGTAAACTCCAGTGGTTTTCTGTCACCTCCAGGAGCAAATACAAAATGCTCTGTTTGGCATTCAAAGCCCTTCATAACCTAGCCCTCTCCTACCTTTCCAGTCTTCTTACACCTTATTCCCTGCCACTTTTTTTTTTCATCCAGGGACGCTGGCCTCTTGGTTGCCTCATAAACAAGATATTCCATCTCTCATCTCTGGGTGTTTTTTTCTGTCTATCCCCCACGCCTGGAATACTTTCCCTTCTCATCTTCTCTTCTTGGCTTCTTTTAATCCCAACTAAAATTCCACCTTCTATAGGAAGCCTTCCCCAACCACTCTTAATTCTAGTGTCTTCCCTCTATTAATTATTTCCCATTTATCCTGTATATAGCGTTTTTGTACGTGTTTGTGTGTTCTCTCTTATTAGATTGTAATTCCTTGAGGACAGGGGTTATCATTTATCATAGTGCTGGCACAGAGTAGACGGCTTAATAAATGCTTATTGACTGACTGACTGAAGCAGTCTAGTCTGACTGGAAGACTGGCAAGGTAGTTTGGGAATCAGATTGTGGAGAGCCTTAAATGCCAAGCAAAGGAGTTTGTTGTGTATTTGGTAATCAGGGAATGCTTACCACAGAAGGCTTTTGAACGGGAGAGTGCCTTGGTGAGGCGTGTGTCATGTGTTACGTGTTATGGCTATTACTCAGGAACCTCTCAGAAAGATAAGTTGGAAAGGGGAGACAGATTAGGGCCTTGGAGACCAATTAGAAGGCTATTACAGGAAGGAATTCAGACAAGAACAAAGTTAGGGCAAGGGGATAGAAAGGAAAGACACATACTAGATAAATTGGAGAGGTAGAATCGACAGAACTTTTCATTGCTTAGGGAAAGACAGGGAAAAGAAAGGTGATGTTGATCTGAGGAGCCTGGGACTAAGAGAGGGTTGGTGCCATTGACAGAAGTTTGGAAGGTAGAACCATATGGTATTTTTAAACTCCATATGTCCAAACATTTCATTCAAAATGTTATGTGGATCTAAAGTATCACACACATACAAATTTTGGTAACAAAATATTCACTGCACAGAGCTCTCCATCTCTTCAGAGTAACTTCGTACACATTTGACTGCACTTCACATTTTATTCTTGAATAGATGAACTCGGGCAAACAACAAATTTACAGACTAATTATATTCTATCAATCTCACTGTAGAATTTATTTTAATTTTTTAGGGATACATGATTTAAATTATAATATATTAGAATCTGAAGTTTTAATGAGACTTTATCAAATTGCTTTTAGGGCAGTTAAAGGATAGTGGAAAGAACATTCATTCCTTGGATTTGGAGATGGAGGGCCCAAGTTTGAATTCTATCTTTTCAACTTATTACTTATATGACACTTATACTCTAAACTTAGGTTACTCATCTTTAAATTAAGGGCAACATTACTAGAATCAATGTATGTGTGATACTTTTTAAAATATAGAGTGCTATATTATTTAAATGTCAATTTATTATTCTACTGAATTTAAAGTAGGTATGTTTACTTGATGAAATAGTGTAATTTTTCTCATTTGATTATTGGAATTTGTTTTGAAAGCATATTGGAAGTTGCATGTAATAAATCTAAGAAAGGTATGTAGCATGTAACATAAGGTGATCTTTGAAGTGTTTGACTTCAGATCTTTTGATGTATTAGGGAATATATGCAATTCTGTATGCAAGATCTAGAATTTTTTTCGGGGGGGGGTTGGGCAATGGGGGTTAAGTGACTTGCCCAGGGTCACACAGCTTGTAAGTGTTATGTGTCTGAAGCTGGACTTGAACTTGGGTCTTCTTGAATCCAGGGCAGGTGCTCTATCCACTGTGCCACCTAGCTGCCCCTTGTAGAATTGTTTTTAACTTACCTGATTGATAAGTATAAAATAAAATTTTTGAAGATCTTTGACAATAACTGTTGGGCTTCCTTCCTTATATTATTGAACATTGCTCCACTTAACTGTTATTTTAAACCAACCTACAAAGCAGCTGCCAACACAGAGCCAGCCTTGGCTTTAGTAACATGAAATGTAGACATGAGAAAGTAACTTGAGTACAATTGATCTGGGAATTGAGTTGCTAGCTGTTTAGTACTCCTAATGTAGCTGTCATGTGTTTTTGTTTTTGTTTTTAGTTATCCCTTTGTCTATACACGCAATATTACCCAAATGAATTGCTTCCCCCTCCCCACTGTTATTTGATAGAATTCTCAATAAGACAAGAAGATTAGATAAAAAATACAAACACTAGCAAAAAGAAAACAAAATTATCCTTTTTTGCAAGTGATATGATGGTCTATTTAGAAAACTCCAGAGAATCCATCAAAAATAATTGAGAGGAGCTACAGTAGAACTGAAGGATAAAAAAGCATAAAAATTATTAGCATTCCTATGCAGTACTAACAAATACCAAGTTAATAAATAGGCTTATGTATTTTTGCATTGATTAGTTAAATGTATTTAGAAGGTATTTATGATTTTGTGCTTTTTTATCTAGATTTGAGTGCCTGTGCAGCTCTTATTGATCACAGTGTTTTAGAAAATCCCAAATTAGTAGAATCACAAAATTCATTGTAATACAATACAATACTGTGATATTGTAGTGTCAGTAAAGTGCTAGATGCAGTGTGGCATAGTTCATAGAGTGTTGAACTTGAAGTCAGCTTCAAAAATTTAAAAAAAAAAGTTCAGATTCTGCCTCTTTTACGTTTAATAGCTTCACCACCCCAAAAGTGAACATCTGTGTTCTTCAAATAATTCTCTAGGACATAGTTATTACTTCTTTAGTCCATTCCTTCTGGTAGAAGGAATTCCCATATTGCAATCTTTCTCAGATGTTTCTTGGAGCATCTTCCTTTAAAGCATCAGTATAATAGAAATGATAATTGAGGCTTACATATCACTTTATTGTTTACTAAGCATTTTATATATATTATCTCATTGAAGACCCAACAACTCTGATGATGATGCTATCCCCATTTTATAAATGAGAAAACTGAGGCTGAGGGAAGTTAAGGACTTGACCATGGACACGCATATGTTTGGAACGGAAGCTCAGCAGATAGTTGAGTGGAGAGGAGGGAAAGACAGTTAACTGAAATGATGCCCAAAAGCTCAGTTGGGAAGCCAAGTACAGAATATTTTGGGGGACAGGGAAGAAGGGAGAAGAAGGGAAACCTGAGGGAGGGAGAAGGAAGGAAATGAGACAAGATAATTAAGAATGGCAAAGGGGATATAGCAAGTTTTATATTTATAACTGGATTATAAGCCTCAAGTCAAAAAACATCTCATTCTGCCTAGTTATGGAATTTAGGTCTGACACCAAGTTCATCAAAAATAGATTTAAAATGTATACAAATGTTTATGTGTGTGTATAATTCTAAGAAGTTTAGTAACTTAATCACATCCTTGAATCTAGGTTTTTTGACTCTGTCAGTATTCCTCCATTAATTCATCAAGTGGTTGATTTGTTTATGCCTGTAAAATACTAACTTTATTTTGCTAATGCGAAGAAGCAAGTTTTTTTTTTAAAGGGCGAGAACGTCATAGAAGTTAAGAATATACAATTCAAGAAAAAGATCTGTTACAGTCTTTGTACTTAAACTACTAGTTTCGAGATATGAACAAAATTTGTGCCCTTGTTTCAGAAGTTAATTTGGGCAAACAATATTTTGGATCTTAAATTATATTAGCCTCACTGATGCCTGATGCCAGTAACTATGACTTAGCTAAACTTTGTGTCTATCCCCCATAGCTTAGGATACTGATTTGCATGTAGGGAGTGCTTGATAAGTGTTTGTTGATTAGAAATAATGAATATATTGATGCAAATTAGTGCTATTAGTATTAAAGTCATAAATGTGATAGAAGGAAGACAGTAAAGAAGGGATCACACAGAATAATAAGGTATACTTTGATGGAGGAGACATAGAAAAACTAGGAGTGTAATAGAAGTTCTTTTGGTAGGGAGAAGGAAAGGTTGGAGGTATCACTCCAGGGGGAATGGTTAGCTACCTAGATAGTAAGGTAAAGTTATTACAAAGAGAAGGACTTAGGGCATTCGAATAGAGAGATGTTGTTCTGGCCATAGTGGGGTATGGTCCCTAGTTTGGTTCATATAGGACTCCATTCTCTTGAGAGAAATGAAACTCATGAGCTATGTAGTAATTATGATTATGATAGGAGTTTAGAGTATCCAGGGTTTTTCCCCCCATTTCCCCTCACTCATATTTCCTGACCCCCTCTCAAAGATAATCAGAGTTAGTGAACAGTTACTACCATGGAAATTTTCTCTTGAATATTATGTAGCCTGTGGAATTATACTGTTCAGAATGTAGCATGGACTGTGTTGTTTTAGATAATGTGTAGAATTAGAAACTTCCATTTAGAAACAGAATTCTAGTTTAGCTTTTGTCATAGACTGAAAAATTATAATTTGGTGGGTGATTTTACTAAGGAATAATGAGCAAATAACCTTGGTGTGCATGTTTTTCATACAGATTTTTTTATTTCTCATTACAGGGTAAAATTCTTTACAAAGTTCGATGGAAAGGATATACTTCCGATGATGACACTTGGGAGCCGGAAGTTCATCTTGAGGACTGCAAAGAAGTTCTTCTTGAATTTAGGAAAAAAATTGTGGATAACAAAACTAAACCTGTTAAGAAGGATATACAGGTAATATATTTTCTCTGTTGTGCTCCTCTGTATTCTCTGTGCTTTTCTTTATAGCTGTCTATTGTTTCTAAGTAATAGCTACTTACCAAAAACTCTTTTGTCAGAATTATAAATATATATTATATACCCATTTAAAAATTGTTTAATTTTTCACCGTAGAATGATTTGTCCTAGATGGCACCTTTTTTTCTAACTCCTTCTTAACCTTTTGGCCATTTCATTGCTTTTCAGCATCATGAAATGAAGGGAAAATTCAAATGAATCAGTTTCTTCACTGTTAGCAGATTTAGGAAAAGAGAGTGATGTTCAAACTGTTGTCCAAGGTTCACTCCTTTGAATTTGTTATTCTTATAATCCCTGTTGCTATGAAATTGAGTTGTCTTATTTGATTCATGTGAGAAAGTACCTGTTCATAATTATTGTTGTGTGAATATTTTAGCTTTTGTTTACAGCTTTAAATTGTAAAAAATAAGTTCACAAATACCTTTTGCCTTTTGAGCTAGAGATGGGGACCTTTTGATTGTTTCAATAAAGAATCTTCTCTCTTTTTTTTCCAGTCTTTTTATTTGTTCTAATTTTTCTTGTCTCAAAGAGCCATTGATTTCTGTTTGGTTTGTTCTAGTTTTCAGGGAGTCCATTATCTGAGTAAAATTTCTCTTTTAAGCCATTTATTTCAATTGTATCATCAAGATCTTTTATTTCATTTTTTTTTAACCCTCCCTTCATTATGTAGTTGCGTTGGAAAGTCTATTTTTTTTCCTTTGACTCTCTTCTTACCATAGATATGCAGTTACTCCTTTGGGGGGAGATTTGTAGATTTGCATAGTTTTTGATACATCATGTTCTTCTTTGATTTTCTTCCCTATCCATCTGTAGTTGCTGAATTGTGGCTTTGTTCCAGGACCTGACTTGACCTTCTGTTACACTTTTTCTTGAGGGAGTAGTCTTCCCTGTTGGCTCTCACCTTGAGTTTCTGCACTAATTTCTATCTCCTGCAGTTCAAACTCTGCCTGGAGCTTTGAGATTCAGAATACTGGATCTTCAGGGACTTCTAGCATCTTAGGCCAGAGTATTGGGGACCTCAGAGCCCTTGGTCTCAGGTTTCATGGTCTAAGTTTTGCTGTTCTGTGCCAGTTAGTGCCCACTGCTGCTGCCTAGAACTTCAAAGGTCCCCACTCCAGGGCTTTCTCAGGGCTGCCCTTTGCTCTTGCTCTTGCTGCCTTTGGACACAGAGTCTCATTGGTTATACATATCTCTGGCCAGTTTCTGGTCGTATTGAGAGGCTATTCTTACCTGGCATTGGCTTTGCTGGAAGTCCCCCTTTCTTTTGCCTACAGACTTCTGACTGACCTCTTGTGCTTTTCTGGGGTAAAAGAATTCACTTACTATAGTTTCTCATTCTTCATCATTATTCATTCTGGTACAGATTGTAGGATTTTGCTGGAGTAATTATGAGGGAGTTGGGCAGTCTGTCTCCCATGCAGGCTATCATTTTGACCAGAAGTCTTGATTCTACAATTCTTACAGGACTTCCAGGAACATTTGACAATGAGGTAGGGGCATAGGATTGGAAATACTGATTTAGGAGACATTTATATCAGTTGCAATGCACCTATCCATTTTGTGCTAGTTTGTTGCTTTTCCAATTTTATATTTAAAATGCTGTCCATTGATTTTTTTGATTGAGTCTCTTGCCAAGCTTTCTGCAAATTTGTTTTTCCCTCTACTGTTTTTGCTGAATTATGAGGTTACATTGCTCGTTTTCTTCTACTCTCATTTTCCTTAAGATCATAAAAAAGGTTATGCTCTAAACCTTTCTTAAGCTGTTGCTCTAATATGTCTACTTGGCAGCAAAGGAGTTCAAGTATTTGCTGACTGAGTCAGTTTGTAGGATCCTTTGATCTCATTGAAGTAATTGATTTAGCAGGTAAACTTCTTAAGAAAGTGTTTAATAGTCTTTGTCACTATCTGTTCTTTTGTACTTTTCCTATATTTTTTCCAACTCAAATCAGAGTTGCCTCAACTGCTTGCTTTATATGTTCTTGGTTGGTACTGGTTTTGTTTTTTTGTTTTAACAAGTAATTAGTATTTATAGATATAGCTTATTTGGAAATACTCCCACATCAGTAAATATTAATTTCCTCTCTCTTAAAATATAATCAGTTTTATTTTATGATGTTGTTTAGATTGAATTATTAGAAGTCCCAGAAAGAGGTTATATTATAATATACTCTTACTTACAAAAGTAAGCCCTTGGTAGTTGGGAAATATAGATTGAAAGAATGTGAACAACTCAGGATAGATTTCATTACCATCATTTGAAAAGCAATTTTGAGTTTGTGTTCTGCTTATACTGGGTCAGTAGCATCACTGTTGCATATGAAGAACACTATGTTATGACAACAACCAGTTGGTATTACAGAATGTACCTCCTGAATTTACATGTGACTTAACAAGAGGGTTGAATTACTGAGAATTTGATCAGAAGATTAGCTAGGGACCACGGTAATCTAGACACTAACATTCTGAGAATTACACGTCATTGATGAGGATTTCGATTTTGATATTTGGTTTTGATAGTTAAGTAACATGGTTTCCCTGGTTAACCATATTTGTACTACCATTTACAGTCCAAAGATAAAATTCCCCTTGGCAGCAGTTTTACTTTTTCTTTGTTTTCTGTAATCATCATCATATTCTTTCCAAGCAGACTTCCTGATACTTCTTTGATCTTCCTCTCTACCTTTTATAACAACAATAACAAAAAACTCAAACCCAACCCTTTTTGTTCATTCCATACTAGCCTCCATTCCTTGTGTGATTTAGTACAAGTCATACTATTCTTTTTTTAAAATACACATTTAATTATCTTTTTTACTTCACCAGAATTTCTCTGCTTATCCTTCTCCCCTCCCTGAGAGCTATCCCACATAACAGTAGTATTTCAAGAAAAAAAGAGAAGAGAAAAAAATGAGCAAAACTGATCGAAAATTTGAAAAAGTCTGCAAATATGTGTAATGTACCATGCTCAAAGACCCCCCCACCCCTGCAGAGAAGTAGAGAGGAGGTCTCCTCTTGTGTCTTTCCTTGGAACTGTGCTTGTTTTTTGTGATTGTGTAGCATTCATATTTGTTTGCTTTGTGGGTATTCTTTTCATTTACATTGTTATTGTTCAGACTGGTTTTTTTGGACCTTTTATAATCTTTTTTTTTTTAGAAATTTTTAAAGAAAGAAAAAGAAAACAAAAAACTCAGCAAAACCAACCAGTAGATTGAAAAAAAATATGTATAATGTTCCACATCCATGCTCCCATCCTCCCCCAGCCCAAACACATACATCAAAGAACTGAAGGGAAATGTCCTCGCATTTTATTTTCAGGGCCAAGCTTTTTTTTTTTAAGTTTTAGAATTTGTTTTAAACTTAAATACATAATAATAAAATAAAAAGGAAGCATTGCCATGTACACAGCAGAACACGAGAAGATGCAGTATAAGACAATACACTTCCAATTAAAGAAAACCTATTTAATAAATACTACACATTGATTTCAAAGCTGTCCAGCTTTTCTTTGCTTCCTTGTAGGTTTTCTTTTGTTCTCTGTGCACTTTTTACTTTATTTTTTCCCTTCCCTCTTCCCCCCAAAGAAGGCTACAGTTGAGTGTGGAAATATATATAGATATGGATATAGATATAGGTAGATATAGATACATACACATACATACATTCATACAAGTATATGTGAGACTGTACTGTGCTTATTCTTGTCATCTGTTTCTCTGAAGGTAGATAGCATCTTCCTTCATAAGTTCAAGTCTTTCCATGTTTTTCTAAGTCAACCAGCTCATCGTTTCTTACAGAGCAATATTCCAACCCAATCACATTAATCTGAGAGATAGTGAAAGTTTTTTTCCCCCAATTTTCTGCATTCCTTCTATTCTTGGCTGTATAGGTTTTATTTATACAAGAAAATTTTACCAAGCTTATTGTTTTTAATTTTGCAACATTCATTTTTTTCTTTCTACTTATAGTTTTGTAATTGTTGTGCATATTGTTTTCTTGGTTCTGCTTACTTCACTTTGTATTCCTTTTTGTAAGTCTTCTCATGCTTCTCTGCATTCATCACTTCTTATAGCAGAGTTATATTCCATTACATTCATTGTTTTACATTCTATTGGCCAGTTCCTGATCTGTGGGCATCTAGTTTGTTTATGGTTTTTTGCTGCCACAAAAAGTGCTGTTGTAAACAATTTGGTGGAAAGATCTTGGAGTATAAGCCTAGAAGAGGAATCTTGTGGTCAAAATATATGAACATTTTAGCTATTTTATTTGCATAATTCAAAATATTTTCAAGCATGACTCTACTGATTCATAGTTCTACTGACAGTGTATTAGTGTCCCTGTAGCTTTCTTATTTTTAGCTGAAAGAGGTATCCTGCAGATGTCAAATTGCCCACCACTATGATATCATGCCTTATGCTAGGCTTCTGATCTGCTTCCTGTACTACTCCTTTGTTTTTCTCTGTTCAGTATAAGTGATCTCTGTTATATTCATGTAACAGTGTTACATCTGTTTCTGCCTCTTCATCTTTACCCCAATGTTCTCCACTTTGCTTACTATCATGATTCTCAGTTTTCAGTGCTGCCCTATAGCTAGCTCTCTCACCCCTCCTTTAACCTATCCTTTTCCTTTTTGAATAAGTAATGTAGTTCCAGAGCCATATTGTAGGCATGAGTCCTATCCTACCAAATCTCAGTGTTATCTACAAGGTCAAATTTTTATCTCTAGTTCACCTTGCTTGTTTGTTAGCTTTGATTTTGGTGAGTGGACAATGAAGGGTATGTTACGTGATCTTAAAGATAGATTTGTCGTCACCTTAAACATTTTTTTAAGTGAGAAATTTTGTTTTAATATAGCATGCTTTCACTCAGATGCTTCATACTGTATCGCATATGCATCTTAAAGACTGCTTTTATACTATTTGTTTGATGGTATGATGTACCAAAATCTTAACTCATTGTAGAAAAATAAAATGAATATTTGACAAGTTAATCACATAAGACTAAAATTCAGTTAAGTTCAACAGACATTTATTAAGTACATGCCATGGAGATCTATCTTACCAGAATACCAGGTTTTGAAGTCAGCAAGATGAAAATTTCATACTTAAAATTATCCTTGGAAATCCAAGCAGCTCATAAAGTGCCACCCTGCATCTTTAAAAAGTTGAAGCTGCAAAGGGGCTGTGATTCCTTTAAAAGAAGGCAGGCTGAATCAGAGGGTAGATAGATCTGAAATGGTTGCTATGGAAACAACCAAATGTAAATTTTCTTTTCTGCTATTCTCCTGTTCCACTTTTCTTTTCCATCTAAGTATTGCTCTGAACTAAACTACTGAGCTATTGATAGCAGGATCTAGAGGATTTCTGCTTAAATAGAAGAAAACGAAAAATAGGTAAAGTTTTAGCTAACAGGAAAATTGTATGATTAGGAGAAAGAAAATATTGAAAGGTCTTTAAAAAAAATTTTTTTTAATAAAACAAAGCCTATGAATAGTTAAATCTGGTTAAGTTTGAATGCTACTGTGCAATGTATGCAGCGCTAGGTTTCTAGAGATACAAAGATTTAAAAAATAACATAAGTCCATACAGTCAAGAAGCATAAGTTATCCTCTATTAGAAGGGATCTTGTAGATCAAGTCAAAATTCTCCTCCCAAGATTGAGAGTTATCACCTTCATTTGAAAGGGGTAAGAAAGGTAGAGAAGAGGAAGTAGTTCAGAAATGAAATGTATTTTATATGGTTTTATAGTTTAATATGCCTACAGCTAAGTGTTTGGGATCAAAATAACCACTTAACAATTTCATCTGCCAAGTGCTTCTATCCATAGTTGCAGTAGGCATCTACCCTAGTCTAGCAATATAGTATGATTGCATACCTACCTATAGCTTTATGGAGTTAATTAAAGTTGTCTACACTGTTTGGATAAACATTGTTTATATATAGATCTGTGTCTCTCATTATTTGGAAAGTCAGTATGTGAAATTTTACTTTTGAAGTTGTAAGTAAAGGGACATATTCAAGATGTTTTGCATATTAAATTTATATTTACAGAATTTTGAAGCAGAAGTTGACTAATCCTTCCCCTGTTACTTGGGCAAGCTTCCTAATCATACACACACACACACACACACACACACACACACACACACACACAGAGTTTTATATGTACACATAACTGTGTATATAATACACACACACACACATAAGGTGGTAGTGGTATAAGTAGAGAAAAGAGGTGAGATGAAAGAGGTAGAAATGTTTTAGAGGTAGAAGTCAGTTGCTAACTGATTTGTTATATGGAGTGAGGATGAGAAGTTTAGAATAATGTCAAGGTTATAAGCCTGGGAGATTAGAAAAACAATAGTACCCCTTGCAGAAATAGTGAAGTTAATTTTTTTAAATCTTTTTTTTTTTTTTTTGGTAAAGCAGTTGAGGGTAAGTCAACACAAGGGAATTCAGCTGCCAGACAAGGGGAAAAGTTCAAGTCATTAGAAAGTTATGTGGCAATGCCCAGGCAGGCATCCTTGGGTTGTCAGTAGGTCAAATGACAGGCTAGGAACTGTAGGACATACAGCCAAGGCAGGTGGTAAGGCCAGGAAGTCCTTAGAAGACAGTGGCAGGGCAGAAGGTAATTTGTTAGCCTTCCATTTTACCTGAAAGAAAATTTGATGACTGTCATTAACCCAAGCCACGTGAGCAAGTCAGGCAACCTGGATGGAATCTAGGATGGATTTTGGGGCAAGAATTAGGCAAATTTAGTTGGACGTGCCAGAGATGAGGACCTGCCTCTTACTATTAGTGAATGTGAACAATTTCTATAATTGTTTACAGTATTTCTTTTTAGTTTGCATTATGAGAAATTTAAAACATCAGCACATGGAAAAACCTAGAAAACACATGAAGAAAATAGCCAAAGATAGTTTGTCGTGAAATATGGCTCCAACACAAAGAAAAAAAGAATATGAGAAAATGTTTAGAGAGAATATTGGAGGGTTAAACAGAATAATACCTTAAGCAAAATTCAACATCTAAGAGTATTGATTAATTCTTCTCACTTTCTAGCTCCTTGTCTGGCTAATTTTTACACTTAAACTTAACTTCAACTTTTAAATGAGCAGGATCACAAACCTCCACTCAGTATCCATGTCCCAAGTCATATTATCCAGCTTAGTGAATTGGTCTTTCTGGACAAGATCCTTATTTCGATTTGTTTTCCAGTCATTTTCCTTCTACTTGTTAATCTGTTCATTTATACCTTTGGTGACAAGTTGGTTATCTGTGCCCGCAAGTTTTTCATGTTGTGAGTCTTTGGTTGCTCAATTGCTTTGGCAGGTGTTTCTAGTGATACTTTTCGGTTTGTCTGTCATCCAGAATGTGTATCACTGGTGTTTAGAGAGTCGGCTAGTCCCCAATGGATATGCATGCATCCTTGTGCCCCTTTTCTTCCATTATTTCTGCAGGCACCCTTGATATAAACAGTGTAAGGGTCTGTTCTCTGGTAACTGTTGCTGGTCCCACTTTCCAGAGGCTACCAGTCATCAGAGTAGCCCTTCAAGTCTGCTTATAGCATTCTCAAATCATTGCAAGTCTCTCCAGTGGTTTGGTTGGCAAAGAGGGTGACTAGACTTCAGAGAATATGAACTTTGTATAGTATATACTTTAAAAATCTATATTTATTACTAAATTGTGAAAATTATATATTAAAATCAAACATAGTATATTTTAGAAAAATGGATTATCCCAAAATCCTAATTAGAGATATAATTTTAATAGATTTAAGTTAAATGATCCTGTCTTCTAGCTACTGCTGCTATTTTTTATTGTCATTTGCCCTTTCTTCTATGTAGACCTAAAAGGAGAACTTTGAAAGTTATGAGAAAAGGTGTTCTTTTGGTCCTAATTTTTTACATATATTTTTCTTTCTTACTAAGTGTTTTTATTAAAATCTTAACATGAACATTAATACAACTTAACTTTTAATAAGTTATTTACATTTAAATTAATTTCAGTGTATAAAGTATATACTAACACAAAGTTAATCATTTTTAGTCACTTCTAAGGTCCTTGTTTTAACATTCTTTGTCCATTCTTATTCACGTATTCTGTTATGGGTATAAGCATGTACTTTATCATTCAACTTTCTTTACTTTGTATTATTTTATGAATATGTTTCTTGATTTCTTTATTTTCAGTCTTAATTGTATAAGTGTTCAATTACATTGATGTACCACAATTTATATACATATTTCTCTATTATTGGTCATTTAGTTTGCTTCTAGGTTTTTCAAATTATATATAAAGCTATTCTATGACAACTTTTGAACATATAACAAACTTTTTGTTTATGAGAACACATTCAGATCATATTCTTAACAGCAGCATTATTCAAAGGGTATGAAGATCGTTTTTGTAACTTTTCCTTTTGTCCTAATACTGTTGTTAAGTGTGATTTTATTATGTCTTAGCTTATTTTTTCTCACGAGAACATATTTCTGATTATATGAAAGTTAAAAGGTAAATAAGATTTATTCTTGCTCTTTATATATTTTTCAGAAACATATTAGAAGTTGCTTGTTTAGTGTTTTATTTATACACAATTGACAGATTTTGTAGATTTTTATGTGAGATTCTGTTCTCCATATTAAAAAGGGCAATACTTTTGAGTATTTAACAAATATTAAATTATCTTTCACTATGTGGTTGTTGCTGTTTTTCCTTCAAAGCTGAATTTTTAAAATTGTATTCTGTGACAACAAATTTCAGAGCTTTTCTGAGAACCAAAAAAATTTTTTTGTATGATTTAGATAGAATGTTTTTCCCAGAGGGTGGTGTCCAGATGTTAGTAACTAAGAAAAATGGGCACAAAGTTAATTTATATGGTATGTCACCTTGTAAAGTTTCTAAAAAAAAATCTATGATGAAATTGTATTAATAGAATATGTAATATAAGTGCTATATTAATCTTAAGATTTTTTTTATCACCTACTCATTATAACTACTTTTCCTGGTTTTGTGTTTTGTATTTTTGTTTTTGCTGCCTAATTCAGCAACAGAGACACCATTTTTTTTCTCTCTCCTTTTTTTTTTTTTGCAAGTCATTTGGGGTTAAGTGACTTGCCCAGAGTCACATAGCTACTAAGTGTCAAGTGTCTGAGGTCAGATTTGGACTCAGGTCCTCCTCACTCCGGGGCTGGTGCTCTATTCGCTTGTGCCACCTAGCTGCCAAGAAACTATTTTTCTATCCCTCTTACCAATGTTTATCCTTAATTGACTTATTTTTTTTCTTTTGCTTTACCAGTATTTCAAATTAAGAAATAGTAATAATATCTATAATTTAATTTCAGAGACTGCCTTAAATTTTTTTTTCTTCTGTTCATGAAAACTTTTTTTTTTAACTTTCTGATTCTTTTGGAAGTTTTTTATGCTGGAAGTCAGGTAGAAATGTAGAAGGCAAAATAGGATTTAAGTATTTTTAACCTTTTATATCTTTATTTTATAGAGACTAGTTTTGAATGATGATGACATATTTGAGGCAGAATCTGACAGCGATTGGCAAAGTGAAACAAAAGAGGACATTTCCCCCAAGAAAAAGAAGAAGAAGTCAAGACACAGAGAAGACAAAAGTCCTGATGATTTGAAAAAGAGAAAATGGAAATCTGGTAAACTAAAAGATAAGTCTAAAACACAATTGGAAAATTCTTCAGAAAAATTGGTCTTTGATTCAAAGTCCAAGAAAAGGATTTTGGAATCCAAAGAAGATTCAAAGGAGTACAAAAAGACCAAAAAAGATGATTTAAAAGAAACAAAGAAAGTAAAAAGGGGTGAAATTAAAGACTCAAGGGGGAAAGTAAGAGACGATTTTAAAGAAAGCAAAAAAAAGAGAGAGAAGCTTAATGAATCTCTGTTAGAATCTGAATCAAGTACATTTGATGATTCACTTTCTCAGTTGGCTGATGATGACAGTGAAGATTTACCTTCTGATAACAGAGGAGAGAAACAAAAATTTAAAAGTGGAAAAGATAATTTAGAACATGACATAATTCAAGAAGTGATTTCTGATAAACAACCAGATGATACAGGAAGTGCTGAAGAAGATGTTGATGTTAGAACAAAAAAGAAAAAAAAGAAATTAAAGAAAGTTGAGGAATATAAAGAAGAAATTAGAAAAGTAGAAAATAAGGACCCATACTCAGAGAAGAAAATTTTATACAAAAAGCAAAAGAATCAAGAAAAAGTCAAAGGTTCTGTAGAGGTAGATAAATTAATACCTACTGCTGCTCAAATTCAGAAGAGCACAAAACTGGGTAGTGAAGAACGAGGTCGAAGGTCTACTGATTCAGTTGGGGAGGTAAGTCACTCAATGATAGAAGAGGAAAGTTTTAAGAATAAAAGAATGTTGCTTGAATCAACTGTATGGGGAAAGTAATATGGGAAAAATATTTTTTGGTGTATACCATAGAGAAAACAGTGAAATAGAAGAAACAAACCACGTAAAGGCAGTGTTTCTTGCTTGAGGTTATCAAGGAATTCCAAGGGTACCATTGAGCCTCTTGTCTCTAAATTAGTGATGACTGGCAGACTGTTGTGAATTGGCTAGCTTCTCCTCAGCTCTTTCTTGCTCCTAATCTTATAAAATCCATTTCCATGGCAAGTAGAAAGGTTGCTATGGACTTCTTGCTTGTTTATTTTCAAATTTTGTTAGAGGGATAGGTTTAGAAAATATTTGAACAAAATAATATTCTTAAATATTACCAGAATGGCAGGGTCCCTTCAAATAAATGAATAATGAATTGTTTTATGCCAAAACTAAGCTTCAAAAAGCTATCATGTAGGCATTCTTTTAGCTTTTTATTGAATAGATTATCTTATTTTTATAAATATTAAGATTCAGTTTTACATCTTCCTGCTCTCTATTTTTGGTCTTTCACCATGACACCTCTGTTAGATTATTCTAAAGGAAGGAGTTAATGTAATTATGTATTTTTTTTGTTGTTGTTGTTGTTTTTGTTCATTTTAAAATTGTGACTGCTATTTCTTAGATAAGGCATATTAAGATAGTGATATGTCTATTCAAACAAGTAGTAGGTAACATTTCTATAAAGCTGTACGTATGTCATCCCCTAAAAAGAGGGAATTGACACAGGTGGGTTATTTTTTTTTTTATCTCAGTGAATGATCTGTATTCAAATCAGATGAGATAATATGTGTAAAATGCTTTTCTATGTAAATGTTAGCTCTTGTTATTATTTTCTGAGGGAAAAAGTATATGCCACCAACTTCTTTAGGTCTACTAACTTATATAACTCTTCTCATAAATCTTCCAGAGATGACAGAGACAAGAAGTAAACACAAATATATGTTTTGGTCATTATTTCCTTATTAAGTTTTCCCATAGATAGGCTCAATGAAGGAGAATGATATCCAACATCTCCAACAAGACCATATGCCTTCAGCATAATGATTCACCCTCCTTAACCTCTTAAAGGATAGAGATATAATCTGCATGTAATGTAAAGAAATTTCCCCAACTCCTGCTGTGTCAGATTGGATATCATCCGGGTGTGCCTTTGAGATATTGGACTTGAACTCAGAGGACCTGGCTTCAGATCCTGCCACCCTGTGTAACCGTGGGCTTAAGATGTCAAAACTTCAGTTTGTTCACTATAAAATGGAGATAATAGTATATGTTTTTATATGTATATAAAATATACACACATACACATATATATGTATATATATTTTACAAGAATGTTGTAAGGAAAGTGCCTTGCAAACTAAAGCTCTATAAACATGTGAGCTGTTATAATGATGTTGATGATGATGTTACCTGGGGAAATGTTCGTCCTCTGAAATTGTACTCTTATATTTCTTTTCTGCTTTTTAGCCTTCTCGAATGCTATGCCCTCTGCAGAAATTCTAGAAAATTGTGTAAGCAGCGTGGTGTTGATGATTAGATAATTTGTTAATTATTTGCCTCCCTACTTTTCTGTACAAGTTGAGTTAAAATCTATCTAGTAATTAGTCTAAAACGGACATTGTATGTGCATCTGTGACAAGGATGTAGGGGCATGTCATGCCCTGCTGGTTGTGGGGTGGGGTGCCAGTAACTGCAGACATTTGTCAGAAGGATGCGTAGGTTCCCCGCCTTCCTGTGGCAATCACAGCCCAGATTCTCTCTGTAATTTATACCTGTTGCTCCTGTTTCTGCCTTCTAATGGCACACAGAACATGACTTCTCACTCTTCTTCTTGATGCCCTCCAAATATTTGAAGATGGGTAATGTCTTTACCTGTAAGTCTTCCCTTATCTAGCCACAGCATCCCCAGTTCTTGATCTTCACTTAGCATAATCTTGACAACCTTCCCCATCCTGGTTGCTCTCTTCTATATGTTTTCCGGATTTTCAATATTCTGCCTGAACCATTATCCCCAGAACTGAGACTCCACATGTGGTATGATAAAAGCAAAAAACAAAGGACCATCATCTCCCTAGTCCCAGATGCCAAGCCTTTCTTAATTAGTAAACATTTATTAAGTACCCACTATGTACTGGGCACTTTGCTAAGTGCTGGAGTACTAAAAGAGGCAAATTACTGTCCCTGCCCATTGGATTTACAATTTAATGGAGAAGCTCAGCATCACATTAGCCTTTTTAGCTGTTTTATTATACTGTTTGACTTTAAATGAGCTTGAGATGCATTAAAACCTTCATATCTTTTCCAAACATATTAATTTTAAGTAATTGCTCCCATTCCTGTGACCTTGGACTCTGGTTGTTGAACATTCACTTTAGCTTGCCTAGTCTTAGGTATACTTCACCACTTTCAAGAGATACCTACCCTTCCCCCCTTTTTCTAATTCTAGCTCTAGGATGGTAACCAAATGAATACTATTCCTGGAAAGGACATGTCAGTCATTTGCCCTGTGACTCCATTCAGTATTCCCTCTGATTTCCCTGTCCAAAGCACTCCTACCTGGCCCCTAGTTCCCTATATGTGTTGTCTTCTGTTAGAATGTAATGTTAGAAGATAGCCAGGGTAGCATAATAGCAAGAAGTACAGCTGAGCTCTCCTCTGTTACTATTCCACAAAGATCTGGAACATGCACCAGACTAAGTCCTGACTCGGAAATCCAAGAAAAAAATCACGGTCTACCACAGGTCAGCAAAGGGAGGTAGGCAAGTCCATAGACACTGAGGATAGGGGCTTAACCAGGAGTATGGTGTGTGGTATTTTCCATCATGGCTATGCAACAGGATAAGAAAGGGGTCCCAGACCCTTGGACTGCCTTGACCTTGTACAGGGAACAGGAATAAGTGCTTGCTGGTCACTTACTACCCAGTGCTGTGTCAGAGATGCACTGAGGGCCTGAGGACTGGGTTTTGCTGATACCTGAAATAACACAGTACCCAGTATCCTGAGAAAGCAACAGCGAGTCTCAAGAGGACAAAAAACAACCCAGACATTCCCTCCAGAAGTACACTGAGCCTGGCCAGAAGTCATAAAGTAGGCAGGAAGAATGAGCAAACAAACAAAAAGTCCTATCATTAAAAGCTATGATGGTGACAGGAACACTCAATACATAAATCTAGAAGAAGAGAATGACTTCAAAATATCTACAAGCAAGCCTCAAAGAAAAAAACAGTTTGGGCACAAATTCAGCTAGAATTCTTGGAAGAGATGAAGCTAGAGTTACTAAAAAGTTTAAAATTATTTTGTAAGAGAGTGCTAGAGAAAATAATTAGAAAAGAAATGAGAGCTATAAAAGAAAGCATTGGAAAGGGAATTAACAGCTTGGCACAAGAGGTACAAAACCTTACCGAAGCAACAAACTACTTGAAAATTAGAATGACTCCTCAAAACTAATGACTTCATGAAACAAAAAGAAATCCTAAAACAAAGAAAAGAAAAGACTGAAAAAAATATAAGAAAAATGTAAGGCATCTGTCTCATAGCAAAGACAAGTGACTTGAAAAATTGATTGAGGAGATGTCATTTAAGAATCATTGAACTGACAGCCATAACCAAAAAAGAACTTAAACACGTTTTAAGAAATCATGAAAGAAAACTGCTCAGGTCTCTTAGAACCAGAGGGCAAAGAATAGAAAGACTCTACTGGTCATCTCCAGAAAGAAACCCTAAAATGAAAACTTCCAGTAACCACATAGCCAAAATCCAGAATTTCCATTTCAAAGAAAAAAATAAAAGCTGCCATAATGTAATTATCTAACAGGCAGGGACTGTCTTGCTGGCTTGTATTTGTATCCCTAGTGCTTAGCACAGTACCTGCCATATAGTAAGCTCTTAATAAATGCTTTTTCATTTATTCATCTTAAACTTAGGAAGTTAATTTTAACCCACAATAAGCCTTTACATTTGTTGCAGTTAAATTTCATCTTATTAAATTCAGCCCCAGGGCTCTGACCTATTAAGATCTTTTTGGGTCCTGATGCCCTTATCTACCCTGATAGCTAGCTGTCCCAGCTTTGCGTCATATGCAAAGTTAATGAACATGCCATCGTTGTCTGTATCTGAATCTTGGATAAAAATGTTAAATGGAACAAAGTCAAACACAGATCCTTTGATGACTCCATTGGAGACATCCTGCCACATTTACTTTGAACCATTAACAACTACTTTGATTCTGCTTAGGAGTTTTGGTCCCAGGTAAGGAGCAGTCATGGGCCCTCAGCTGTGTACGTACTGAGCAGGGAGCAAGCACAGAAGCAAGTAGCAGTTGTGTGGCTCTGACCCTGAGAAGCAAAGCAGGGTCTTGGTTCCAGTCACTTGCGTAGTCTAAAGTTTGCAGGTGAATAACCAAGACAAGAATTCCTTACCAAAGGGGAAGCCTTCAAGTTTGTTATTCTGAACCTTCAGAGCTTTTTAGCTGACTGAAAATGATTGGATCCAGCAGCAGTCTACTGGAACTCCAATCATGGGCAGACCAAATCCTAGGTCAGGAACTGGCAGAGCTCAGACTTCACCCTGGATCACACTCCTTTGAGAGCACTAAAAGTTTGCAGCTCCCTAGCCTGGGCTGTTGCTGATACCTGAAATAATACAGTACTCCATATTTTCCCAAGTATATTTTCCCTGGACTGCTAACTGGAGACTGAATTAGTGCTTGTTCTCTGAGTTCATAGGATTTTTCACTTTGAATGAAAAGGAGGATTTATCAACCTTTCTTGCCCATCTTAATTTCTGCATTTTGGAGCTCCAAATGAGGGATTTTTCCACCCTTTAGTAAATAATCCACTCTATTAAAGGGAAAAGGAAAAAGAAAAGAGCCTACATGTAAAAGTTAGACCATTATCTACAACTGAGACTTCAGGAATAGATAGGGTATGCTTCAAATCTCCAAGTGTCAGATCAACAGATGGGGGAAGATATGTATGTGGAAGGAGTTGGGGATGGGGGAGGAGGTATAGGTAGTCCGAGGATATGAATAGTTCCGAAGATGGTTTCCTTGCTTTTCCCTTTTGATTAAGATAATATCTCATATTTTGTGTATTCGTTTTCTTTGCTTCCCAAGAGTTCTAGGGTAACAGTTAATGGGGAAGCAAGATATTAAATGTTGTCTGTGCTCTCAGATCTATTCTTTAAGATGAGGAGCAAAAGGCAGACTCATTCTATGACTAACTTTGGACATGTTCTAATGGACTTAGGGGCCCAGTCTTTGCTGGACTCTGAGAAACTTTTGAAGATCGCGAGAATTTATCCCTTGCACATTAGCCATTATCTTACAACAGGCCTCATGGCAAAACAAAGGGCAAAAATGCTATAGTTTATTTGTGGCCTGAATTTGTTTGTATAACATTCAAACTTGCTTGCTAAAACTTGCTTTAAAGTTCAATAAACATGGTAATATTCAATTAGCTTTTCTTTTCAGGACTTTGTTGTTTTTTGCATTTACATTATTTCACACATTTTGTGTATCCTGGTTCTGCTTACTTAACCATATCAGAGCATGTAATTTCATACTAACGTAAATTCTTCATGTTTTCATTTCTTATGGAAGTGATTGATATGCCATTACACTGCTATAGCACAATTTATTTAACCATTCCCCAGTTCATCAGCAACTACTTTTATTTCCAAATCTTTGGCACCCGTACCCCCCAAATGCTTATGTGTATATTTGAATGCAAATAGGATCTTTCTGTCTGTCTTTGACTTTCATTGAAGTGTATGTCTAGAAGTGGGATCTTTGGACCAAAGGATACAGACATTTATTTGGCTTTTTTAGCATAATTCCAAATTGTTTTCCACAATTGTGGGATCAGTTCCCAACTCTACCTGCAATAGATGAATTTACTTATCTGTCTTCCCATAGACCCTCCAACATTGACTGTTTCTGTTTTGTGTCATCTTTCCCATTATACTGGGGATGAGGTAAAATCTCAGAATGTTTGTGATAGGTATTTTTCTTCTGAGTGGTTATTTGGACTGACCTTTCATATTGTTCATAATTTGTAGTTCTTTTATTTAGAATTATTTGTTCATATCCTTTTTTTATCCATTTTACCAAAAATGCTTATCCACGGGAGAATGACTGATATTCTTACATATTTGTGTTAATTCTCTGTACATCTTTGATATCAAATTTTTATTGTGTTAATTCTCTGTATCTTTGATATCAAATTTTTATCAGATACTTGATGCAAATTATTTTTCCTAATCAAGTGTTCTTTTTTATTCTAGCTTCATTGATTTTCATAGATAAAGTTTGTTTTAACAAATTAGATACTTCTCAAATGCTTTCTTGCAAGAGCTAGGTGGTGCAGTGGATAGAGTGCTGGCCCTGGAGTCAGGAGGACTTTAGTTCAAATCTGATCTCAGATACTTACTTGCTTTATGCCTCTGAGAAAGTCACTGAACCGCTATTTGCCTCATTTCCTCATCTGTAAAATGGGGGTCATAATAGTACTTAACCTCCTCAGGTTATTGTGAGGATCAAATGAAGAAATAGTTGTAAAGCATTTGACAAACTTTAAAATGATATATAAATGCTATTATTATTATTAATAAACATCCAAGCACACCGTCTGTTCATTTACTAAATGTAGTTACTTTATTGATTAACAGAGAGAAAAGGGATATGCCCTCCAACTTTGATGTTAAGGTATTCACACATTTTTTCTGAATTCTTCATGTTTGTAACTTAGGATGTAGTAATATTCTCATACATTTATATGTATCATGATTTGACTTGTCCATTCTCCAATTGTGGGCATATCATTTCTTTCCAACTTTTTTCTTATCACAGGTAATTATGCTATGAATATTTTTCTACATATGGATCTTCTCCTGTTGTCTATAAGTATCTTCAGGTATAGAGCCCCAGTAGTGAAATATCAGCATAGGAATTAAATTCTAACTTTTCTTCAGTAATTCCAAATCATTTTTCAGAATAGCTGGGCCAGTTCACTCTAACAGTGGGAAATTAGCATGTTTGTATTTTTTTAAATAATTCATTTTTGTTATTCTGAACTTAACATGAACATTTTCATACACAAAGAGCAGAAAAAGTAGATTGATGATGAAACCAAACTGTTATTAGAACATTTCTGTCTTGCTGAAATCTTGTAATGTCCCATCTTTGTAACTTGGTGGATGTATGACAAAGTATAAGTTATTCAATGTTATAAGTATATCATTTTTAGCTGTTACCAAATGGTAGAAGGGTAGTACAGAGGGGTAGTACAGAGTTATAGGAAAAACATGGGGAAAAAAATTTGACTTAGTAGTTTTGTCATAGAAAAATAGAGTCCATGTCCTTGATGCCATGTTTTTCATTGCTTAAAGGACCTTGTTTAGTATATATTGTCACTTTCCAATTCTATTTGTATCTTACTTTCATTATTAGGAGAAAGAAACACGGAAAAATGAAGTAAAAGAAAAATATCAGAAAAGGTATGATTCTGACAAGGAAGAAAGGGGGAAAAAAGAGCAAAAGGGAATAAAGAGTGAGTATAAATAATTGAATTTTATGTGATTTTTAACATATATAGTTTTTTTTTGTTTTGTTTTTTTGTTTTTAGACAATTGGGGTTAAGTGACTTGCCCAGGGTCACACAGCTAGTAAGTGTCAAGTGTTCAGTCTGAGGCTGGATTTGAACTCAGGTGCTCCTGACTTCAGGGCTGGTGCTGTATCCACTGCACCACCTAGCTGCCCCTTATAGTTTATTTTTTAAGTGTTTACTATAAATAGACCTTTTTAAGACAAGTTGACTCCCTCTCCTTATAGTGCCAAAAATAGAACTAGACATCTGTACTTTTTAAGAAATTATGGAGAATTAACATTTACTTTTTTGCTTCTGTATTTGTTCATGAGCTCCTTTGAGGCCTTAACGTCCTATACATTTTCTCTGGGGTAAAATGAAGGCTATCCTATACCCAGTAATCATATTGTATATTAGGTCAGTGCCTGGGTGGGATCTGGAAACACTGCTGCCCACATTTGGGGATGCCCTCGACATAAGCTGTGGGCAAGTTTTATTTTGGAAGTTTGTCTGAATTAATCCAAGTAGGGGCAGTGAACTAAAAAAAAAAGAGAGATTTACCTTTTGAGGTCAAGCTTATAGAATGAGACCTAGTCCATGTGACCCCAGAATACTTCGAGGAGGGGAGAAGGTCATGGAAGGGAGAGGAGCAGAGCCAGGTCGTTATTATGAGCTTTATTGGATATTGGACAGCCAATAAAAAAACAACACACTGAAACTATTTGGTGATTCTGATAATGAATTTGGCTGGACTCCTTTATTCACAGCCAGTCATATTAGCAAGTAGAAGCAACAGTTTTTCTTAAAACATCTGTAAGACAGGATTTTATTCTTGTTTTACAACAAGAATTTGTGATTGTAATATTTATCATAAAACTCTTTATTATGTACTAGCATCTAAAGAAATGAGGAATGCATTTGATTTATTTACATTAACACCGGAAGAAAAAAATGACTATTCAGAGAATAATCGGAAAAGAGAAGAAACATTTACTGAAGACTATAGAACTAAGGAAAATAAGCAATTATACAAGGAGAGAAGAAGTACAAGGGATGAGACTGATACATGGGCTTACATAGCTGCAGAAGGTGATCAAGAGGTACTAGACAATGTGTGTCAAATGGATGAAAATTCTGGTGAGTATGATTAAAAATGAGTCACAAATTATGATTCAACCAGAAGCCAACCAAGTTATTTTTATTTTTTACAAATCAAACCATTTGTGTAGGGTTTCTGAAAAACAGAAGACAAAAGTTTTGTTTTGTTTTGTTTTTTTTCCCCACATTTTCTAGTTTTCTCTCTGACTTTAGCTGACATCTGAAGTTTAGAAAGTAGTACAGAATAAAACCTATCTTAAAATATGAACCAATAATTTATGTTAAGAGAACATCCTGAGCTCTCTAAATTAATGGACAGATGTTAAATAAGCACATATAATGTTCATTATGTTTAGAAACTAACAGAAGAAACAATTTCAGGAGGATGAAGGCAGGAATAAAAGTTTGACTACATAGGGGTGGAATACTATTATATACAAATATATTCATAACTAGTCACAGCTATAGGTCTATAAGAAGTTTGCCAGAATAGATTAAAACCTGGTTGGGTTAATCTGGAAAAAGTACATGGAAGATATAAAATTGTAAATTTTAAAGTGAGAAGGAGAGAAAGAACTTGGGCACAGTTGGTATAAGGACATTCTAGATGGTGAGAAAGGCAGAGGCAGAGAAGACTTAGGCAGGTTAATAAGCCATATGCAGGGGTTAGGGAGCCAGCTTACTCAGCTACTCAGAAGAAAATCTGAACTAGGGTATAGTAAAAGGGAAGGATGGTTAATAAGGGACTTCTCATTAGTAGAAAACCTTAAGGCTAACAGTCACAAGTTTTCATTGATTGGAAAGTTCATTAGGAGAAGTTCCTTTATTGTCTTAAGTGCACATTTCTACAAACCTTAAATTTTTGTGGCAAGAAAAAACTACAGAACGGTTATGTCATGTTGTTATTGGAGGGAAAGTCAGCTTATTAAATCTTTTTGCGGGGGTGGGGGGAGCTGAGGCAATCAGGATGAAGTGACTTGCTCAGAGTCTTACAGCTACTAAGTATCAAGTGTATGAGGCCAGATTTGGACTCAGGTCCTCCTGACTCCAGGGCTAGTGCTCTATCCTCTACCACTGCCCCACTTATTAAGTCTTATGGTATCAAGAATTGCCATTTTCACATTTTAATAAGTAGGTGAAACAATTTTAAAATGCACCATCTTTAATTATTGAATTATTTGAGGCCACCCTACTAGGGTTTATTCCTTTTTTTCAACCTACATTGGTGTTCAGGCTGCTAACGGTTGGCTGGAATTGTTACATCTAAATATTACAAGGTTATGCATTTAAAGCTAGAAAGGGACCTTAGTCTTCTAGTCTAGTCCCCTCTTTTTCACGTGAGAAAATTGAGGCCCACAGATTCTAAGGGACTCACCCAAAGTCACTCAAGTAGTAAGTGGCAGAACTGGAATTCAAATATTCTGTCCAAAGGAAAACTCACTTTTTGATTTTTAAGTAAAGGAGGCAATACTTAACAGAAAGAGAAGAATATATGTATGTATGTGATAGGATCTGTATAGATACAGATATTTCATTTTGTGACTTAGTTCTTAGTTTCCACATAAGATGCAGGGAGATGGAAAAATAGCAACATTTGTGATAGTATAATCATCTTTTAAAAGGTAATTAATAAGTCATCTGCATATCTAACAGACAGGCAGCAAGTTTTGAGTTTGGGAATGGATTTGCAGTTGGAATGGATGAAATTAGAAGATTTTCAAAAGCATCTTAATGGAGAAGATGAGAATTTTACAACAGCGGATGCTATACCAAGTAGTAAGTACTTTTGAAATTGTATGATACCATTTGAGAAATCTAGTTGGTATTTTTTTAAAAATCCAGAAATCAGAATTGGCATAAAATTGACTTTTTTTCTTCTTTAGATTTACTGAGGGATGCAGTGAAAAATGGAGATTATGTTACGGTGAAAATTGCACTTAATTCAAATGAGGACTACAATTTGGACCAAGAGGTAATAGTGTAACATTCCTGTGAAAATTTTATTGAAATGTAGCTCTGTGTAGTAATGTAAGCAAGTTAATATGTGACATCAGAAGCATTTACCAATATCCTTAAAAATATTGCTTGTCTCATGGCCTTCCTAAAGGCTTTCCTTTCTTCTTCATTACAAATCTCAATACTTGGCCTGCATTATTTCTATCTAATATAACCTTTTCACTGACCTTCTCCTTCTTGTCAGAACTTTGACCTTTTTTTTTTGTTTCAGGTTTAGTTAATTTTATTTCCTTTTTTTTTCTTTTGTACCTATCAGAACACTATACAATTAAGTTTTCTCATTTTTTGACCTGCATATAGATACCTTAAACAAAATATTTTCTCCCAAATTAAGAAATTAGGTATATCTAGAATGCAGCAATTACACACATGACAAATAATTCACCAAGTAAAATTTACTAGAACATATCATAACATTTTAGGATAGCCAGTCAGAAGAAAAGGTCACCAATTCAGCAGTCAGTTATTTACATTTCAAAACATGCTTCTTTTTATCTAAACTCCCAAGTCAAAGGTAGAGCTTGGATGACAGAGTAGTAGGAAAGAAGCAAAGCAGACTTTTCCCCGAACTCCTCTAAACATATCTAAAAAATCACACTGGGCCAAATCCTGATGGGAAAAGACAATGAATTCACAGTGAGTCATTTTTCCAGCGCATATGAGCCCCAAAGAGACTATGAACACTGGAGAAGGGGTCTGGGTCTGGCCAGGGACAGGCCTGTGGAAAATTCCATTGCAAAGAAGAGTCTGTACAGCAGGATAAGGAGAGGTCCCAGACCCACAATGGGGCACCATCATAGGAACAGGTTGGCCACCTGGCAGCTTTGTTGCCAACTTCCCATTTCCAGGTCCTGGATCTAGGACCTTTGTCTAGGGGATGTTCAAGGGTAAGAAGCAGTTACCCATCCTAGGCAGTATACTGAAAGAGCAAGCAGTGGTGATGTGACTCCTATCTTAGGAGCAGAGCAGGGTCTCAGTTCCAGCTTCTGGACTAGTCTGAAGCTTGCAAAAGAATAACCAGGGCAAGAATCCCAGACCAAAGGGGAGCCTACAGTTCTGTCATTCTGAACCAGTAAACCTTCCCAGCATGCTGATAGGGAGCAGATTCCAGCAGCAGTCTACTTTTGCTCCTACCCAAACCCAGGTCAATTATTTGTAGAACTCAGACCAGGGGAGCAGCAATCAGTCTATGCCTTGGATCAGAATACTGAAAGCTTGCACATCCCTAGACTGTCCCTGAGATCCTGGAATTGACATTACACCCAGTACCTCAAGAATGCAGCAACAGGACCAGCCGAGATCCATCCTCCAAAAGTGCCAGAGGGCTCATCTGTAACATCATGTCCAAAGTCAAGGAATAGGCAAAGAATGGGCAAACAAAAAAAGAACCTCACTTTTATAGTGGCAGGGATGCTCACGGAACAAATACAGAAGAAGAGAATGACTCCAATGCATCTACAAACAAAGGCCCAAAGAGAGACATAGCTTGGGAACAAATTCAGGAACTTCTGGAAGAGGTAAAACGGGGCAGCTAAGTGGGGCAGTGGATAGAGCACTGGTCCTGGAGTCAAAAGGACCTGAGTTCAAATCCAGTCTCTCACCAGACACTTGACATTTACTAGCTGTGTGACCCTAGGCAAGTCACTTAACCCCAGTTGCCTTAGCAAAAAAAAAAGAAAAGAAAATTTAAAAAAAAGAAGAGGTAAAACAGGAGTTTAAAATATTTTTATAAATGAAATGAGAGTTCTAGAGGGGAAAAAATGGAAAAGAAATGAGAACTTTGGAAGAAAATTGGAATTGGAATTAATAACCTGGCACAGGAGGTACAAAACCTAGCCCTAGGAACAAACTCTCTGAAAATTAGAATGGATTAAAGATAAGCCATTGACTCCATGAGGCAACAGGAAATAATGAAGCAAAGTCAAAAGCTTAAAATAATAGAAGAAAGTGTAAGGTATCTCATAGCAAAAACAACTGATCTGAAAATCAGATCAAGGAGGAAAAATTTAAGAATCTACCTGAACACCCTGACCCAAAAGAGAGCCTAGACATCCTATTTCAAGAAATCTTAAAAGAGGGCAAAGTGGAAATAGAAAGACTCTACTGGTCTTTTCCTAACAGCACCTCCAAAATGCAAACTCCCAGTAACATCATAGCCAAAATCTGGAGTTTCCAGGTCAAGGAAAAAATACTGCAAGTAACAGCCTGAAGGAAAAAATTTAAGTACCAAGAATCCACAGTCAGGATCACCCACAATTTAGCAGCCATTCTGTAAAGGATCAGAGAACTTGCAATATGATATTCCAAGAAGGCAAAGGACGTGGGCTTACAACCAAGAATAATTTACTCTGCAAAACTGAGTGTTATGAAACTGGGGGTGGGGGGGAATTGAACTTTAATGAAATTGAAGACTTCCAAGCATTCCTGATGAAAAGGCCAGAGTTGTGGAGAAACTGAAGTTCAAACACAGGACTGAAAAAGTAAACATAAATGAACAATGTTGATAAACTGCTTACATTCAAATAGAGATGTTTTATGTGTCTCCTCTAAACTCTATCATCACCAGGATTCATAGAGGGAATCCAATTATATAAGGCCTGGGAATGGTTGTTATTTCTTGATGGTCTTAAGAAAAGAATGGAAAGAGAAGAGGAATATGATGGAATATGGAGGGGGGTGGGTGGGAAAGGAAGTTTAGGGGAAATCATCTTACACAGTCAGAATGTGCAAGTAGACACCTGTGCAAACCAGTAGGTGAGAGGGCAGTGTGAGTAAATGACACGTGAACCTCACTGTCATCTGAGCTGGTCAAAAGAAGAAAGAATACAGACACACAAAGAGATGGGTACAAAAATATGTTTCACTCAGTAGCAGAATAAGAAGGAAAGGGGAGGAAAGGAAAAGGTGAAATTAGTGGCAGAGTAGTGGGTTAAGGAGAGGGATAACTCCTAAGCAAAACAAAATCTAAGGATGTACACAAATGTTTATAGCTCTTTTTCAGGTGACAAAAAGTGGGAATCTGAGGGGCTGCCCATAAATTGGGAAATGGCTGAACAGTTATGGCATATGAATGTGATAGAATTGTGATGTAAGAAATTATGGAGGATGGTTTTAGAGAAATCTGCAAAGACATGTAGGGGCAGAGTGAAGTGAACAGATCCAGGAGAACAATTTGTACAATGACAATAATATTGTAAAAACAACTTTGAAAGACTAACTGATTAGTACAGTGACCTACCATGATTTCAGAGGACTAGTGATAAAATATGTTTTTCCACCCATCTCCTGATAGAGAAGAAAATGGAAATATGTTTTGCTTTACTATACTAAGTCTGTAAAAGGAGTTTTCTTTTTTCATTCTCAGTTGAGGGGATGGGAAAGAGAAGTTGGATGTTTGCTGATTGAAATATACATATTTGTGTGTGTTTATAAAACATATATATGTATGTATACAGACACACACAAATTATTAAAGGGAAAAATAAGAAAGGATATTGTTAAGGAATGTTAAGGGGTTCCTTGAACTTGTCTTTTTGAGTTGCCATATTATCCAGAAACACTGGATCCAGAGTTTGCAGGGGGCCCTGCCTGTGTCAAGGATGAAGGTGCTCCTCCTTTCCCCCCCCACCCCAGACGTAATAGGTTGTTTGCATCCCAAGCTGGTCTCCCTGTGTGTCCCTGGGAGTCAAAACAGGTGCCAGTCAGTCTACACTGGGCTGAGAAACTGCTTGTGCAGCTGGGACCCTCTGTAGATAAGCAGGCCATCCTATCTTCATGGTGTCACAGTTGCCAAGGTAAAAGAATCTAGCCATCACCATGCTCTTCCCCTTTGGGAGGAGTTTTATCCTTTCCCTGCCTCTACTGCACCTTTCCCCCTCCCATGCCATGCCCCTTTAGGTGGAGAGTTTTGTTTTCTCCTCCTTCCTTTGTTGTAAAAACACACACACACACACACACACACACACACTCTCTCACTCTCTCTCTCTCTCTCTCTCTCTCTTTTTCTTTTTCTCTTTCTCTCTCTTTCTCCTGTGTGGATTGTGAACTCTTCATGTTCTTACATGCATTTTCATTTCTCTTATAATAAACTTAGTTTTCAGGTAAGTTTCGTGAAGTTGTGACTGCTTATTTAGAGTACTATCAAATTCTAAAAATGTACTCTCATGTCAGAAACTTGGAAGTTTTATTTCAGTGGAAGAAAAACAGGAAATGTTGATTCACGGTTAGGCAGCATTGACTGCCCTTGATTTCAAAACTTTTGTGCAGTTTTTCAACCTGCCTTAGAACAGTGAACATCCCCATTTCATATTGTCAAAATTTGAAATGTCAAACTTAGGCCCTTTCGTGCCTAGAAAGACTAATATATTCATTAATTTATAATTAAAATGTGGTCAATAAAATACCAGACTTCTCTACTAGATCATCCTTTTCAGCTGCTCTGTCTATATCCTGTATTTCACAATAATTGGCTACATATTGGAAGAAACTGGTGTATATTTACTGCAAATAAAGATCTTTTAGTTGAGGCTTTTATGCCTAATGTAAAATAGAAGATTCTTTTCTTTTTTTTTAAAATAATGTTAATGTTCTCACATTCTAAGATAAAGTTTGATTGCTTATTCAAATAATTTATCAAGAAATAGCCATAAAGAGATCAGTTTTAGTATTTGAAAAAAGCAATGAACTGAGGGTAATTTATTTTTTAATTAACTTATTTTTAGTTTTCAACAATCACTTCCATAAGCTTTTGAATTTTAAATTTTCTCCCCCTCCCTGCTCATCTCCCTCTCCAAGATGGTATACAATCTGACATAGGCTCTACATGTACATTCCTATTAAACACTTTCACATTAGTCATGTTGTAAAGAAGAATTAGAACCCATAGGAGGAACCACAAGAAAGAAGAAACAAAACAAAACAGAAGAAAAAAAAAAAGCAAATAGTATTCTTTAATCTGCATTCAAACTCCATAGTTCTTTCTCTGTATGTGAATAGCATTTTCCATCATGAGACTTTTGGAGATGTCTTAGATCCTTGAATTGCTGAGAAGAGCTTAGTCTATCAAAGTTAGTCATCACACAACGTGGCTGTTACTGTGTACAACATTCTCCTGGTTCTGCTCACTTCACTCAGCATCAGTTTGTATAAATCTTTCCAGGTTTCTTTGAAGTTGAGATTAATTTCTTTACTCTTCCCTGATTTAGTCTAAGCCACTTTACAGAAGGTATTTCTAACTAACCAGTAAAATTTTGTGGATCCTCCAGACTTAATCTTGCCTACCTTACTCGTTATATTAATATTTCAGACTTAAGTTAACAGTTACTATACTTCGAGGGTCATCTGCTTTGTAGCCTTTTGTTGCTTCTGTGATAGCCTTCTCATATAAACCCTTTCTCATTAAAGCATCACTAAAAGTTTTCTGAAAGGGAGTATGGTTTCAGTATTAAAAGAATAAAATGTTTGAGATCCAAACCATGAAAAACAGTTCTTCTGTCTGGCTAACAGGCCATTATCTTTTTGGCTTACAGTTATATGAGAATTTAGACTGTCTACCATGGTAAGCCATAAATCCTGCCCCAAACCATGTCCCATACACATAGGGGCCTGCCATCTGGTGTGAAATACTGAGATGTTTTGGAAGAGTTTTTTATTTTCAAGGAATTGCTGAGCTTTACTTTAACTGAAATTACTCTTCATTTTGAAGAGAATAAAGTGGAGAAGGTGAATGGTATATGCATACTATCTGGAGGAAAATCAGAGCCTTAAAGTAGAACCAACATTTTAGGGTTGGAGGATTTCAAATCATCTGGGCTTTCACTACCATACATTGGCTCCCTGTAATAATCAAATTTTCTTTGATTTAGTGTCATGTAAGCATTTATACTGCTCCTGCTGCTTTTCCAGTGGCCCATTGTCTGCTGTTCATTATGCTCATTAAGAACAGTACTTTACTTATGTTCTGAACCTCACTAGTGGCCTCTTTAGGACTTTTCAAGGGAATCTACTTTTCCAAAGGGCCCTCACTTGATGAAGAGGGTAGAGAAGCAGCAAAACTGTGGTTTGGCTGCTGTCTTGCCACTCTTCATTTTCTCAACTTCTTCCTTCAAGGAAGCCAGTTTCTTCATCACTGTATCTTTTTGGCTTTAAATGCAGCCAGGATGGAAGGAAATCTGAGCTGGTGTTCTGAAATTGACATGTGAAGTGAACTTTTGAATGTGCATTTTTAGATCTTGAAGTCTCATTCTATTTAATTTGGGTCTATGCAGTTTTTCTGCTTTGTATATCCAGGGTTCCAGTGGCTCAGTTGGTAGAGGTCTGGGCCTGGAGTCAAGAAGGCTCATCTTCCTGAGTTCAAATCTAGTCTCAGACTTACTAGCTGTATGACTCTGAGCAAGTCACGTAACTGCTTGCCTCAGTTTCCTCATCTGTAAAAATGAGCTGGAGAAGGAAATGGCAAGCCACTCCAGTTATCTTTTTTTTTGTTGTTTTTGTTTCTGTTTTTTGCTTTTTTGGTGAGGCAGTCGGGTTTAAGTGACTTGTCTAGTCACTTAGTAACTAGTAAGCTAGTAAATGTCAAGTGTCTGTGGCTGGATTTGTGCTCCAGTTATCTTTGCCCAGAAAACTCTACATGGTGTCACAGAGAGTCGGACATGACTGAAAAATGACTGAACAAAATATCCAGGGCTTGTCCACTTGACTCTGCACACAGTAGGTACTTGATAAATGATCATTAAAGTGTCTTGTGTTAAATTGAATTGAAAACTCATTTCTAAAGGCTTTGTTCTAAAAGAGTTTCTTATTGAAACTTAAATTTTTGTTTCTCTCTAAAAATAAAGGACTCTAGTGGAATGACACTGGTGATGCTTGCAGCAGCAGGAGGACAAGATGACCTACTCAGGCTCCTTATCAAGAAAGGAGCTAAAGTTAATGGTAGACAAAAAAATGGAACCACTGCTCTCATTCATGCAGCTGAGAAGGTTAGTTACTTTTCAATGCAGTGGATTCAATTTAGTGATCTTTCCAAGGATTGACTGCCATTGAATCCAGGAAGACGTTGCTTTTATAAGATTACCTCCAAAGTGTCAGAGTCACATGTATCTTTCTAGTCTATATTGAAATGACTACTGCTTAGTCTGTTGATACTATCTACTTTATATTTAGTTGTAAAACATCTAGTAAACCAAGGAACAGTTAATTAAATACTCAAAGTAATAACTCCCAAAAGAACCTATGGTATCAGATAGTACTACTTAAAATAAATCTGTCCATTAGAAGCCAGCATGTTTTATAAATGAAAATAAAATCCTAAATGAAGCTGTTACGTGTAATGGACAATTGGTTGGAACTGATTTTGGTTTATATTTCTTATTGCCAAATCATTAACAAAATTATAAATTTTTTGACCATTAATTACAAAAATAATGTGTTTGTAATTTCAATTTGACTTTTTTCTTCTTTTCAAAGAACTTTCTAACTACAGTGGCTATTCTTTTGGAGGCTGGAGCTTTTGTGAATGTTCAGCAGAGTAATGGAGAAACTGCTTTAATGAAGGTAGTATTTTTTTTCCACATAGTCAGAACACATAATACTGTAAATTAGGTGTTAGTATGGAAAGAGAACAAATAAAAAGGTAAGAGATACCTACCCTTTAAGGCAGAAAGATCAAATGTAATAGCAATATAAAAATTAACATCCACCATAATACTTAAAATACCAACAATGAGGAGATTGTTGAAGTATTTAGAATTTTTGGAGGCAAATAGAATTAATCTAGGAAGATATTATAGAGGAGATTTTATTAATAACTGTTTTTGTATCATATCCTTTCCCCCTTCCTTACCCAGCAAGTCATCCTTTATAACCAAGAATAAAAAATTCAGGGTGAGAAGAAAAGCATTTCAACAATATATCATTGTATCTGCCAGGTCTGACATTCAGTGTCCCATTCCCATAGTCCCTCACCTCTGGAAAGAAGGGAAGATACATTTTTCTTAATCTTTTCATTCAGGTAAAACTTGGTCATTGTAATTTAAATAGTGCTCATTTTCAGAGTTTTTTTTTTCCTTTCCTTTTACATTGTGGCAGTTATTTTATATATTGTTTTCCTGGTTCTGCTGATTTCCCTCTGCATCAATTCATGTCTTCCCAGGTTTCTCTGAATTCTGCATATTCATTGTTTCTTATAACACAGTAATTAATATTCCATTGTATTTATATGCCACAGTTTGCTTATAGCAGATCTACAGTTGTTGGACATCTTCTTTGATTCCAATTCTTTATTATCAACAGAAGGACTGCTATAACTTTTTTTTTTCCATTCTTAACAAACACCAGGTCAAACAGGCAGTTCCATATGCAGAATAGAACAGAAAAAGAAAACTAGACATGAGACTGATTCCCTCTGTTTTGTGTAATAGGCACATCCAACATGTGAGTGCTTTCAGATCTATCTTGCTTTCCTGTGTTTCCTCCTTTGCATATAAAAAAAATGCTTCAGTGATGCTCTTTTTCTTTTTGGCAACTCTATTGCTATGTCACTGTTCTCCCCACTTTTCCCTAATTTGAGAAAAGAAAAATAAAAAACACTTAATAAAAATGTAGTCAGTATAATTTTGGTATATATAGAAGTTTTCTTTTTGTCTTCACATGCTCTGAATATAGGCCTTGAGATCTCTTAATAGAGATGATTATTAAGCATTTTTAAATTTTTTTGATAGTTACATTCATTTTAATTTTATTTTTATTTTCAACATTTATTTTTAAAAAAATTTTTGGATTCAAATTTCTTTCCTTTCCTCCTTCCCCTCCCCATTGAGAAGGAAGAAATGTGATATTAATTATACATATGATATTATACATGTCAAAACATCTTTTCATATTAGCACAATAACTTTTAGTCTGTTCTGGTATGATCCAGGGTGGTAGAATGAAAGTGGTACTGGATTTGGAGTCAGTCATTTTACATAAGGCATTTTGTGATCCCAGAGTTGCCAGTGCACTCTCTCCCAAAGCTGCTTCCTATACTTCTATTATTTATATATACTGTATATCCATACATTCACATTGTCTCCCCCATTAGACTGTTGATTCCTTGAGGGCATGGACTGTTTTAATTTTGTTTTTGTATCCACAGAGCTTAGGCAAAGTGTTTGGTACACATTAGTAGCTTAATAAAACCTTTGTGATTGATGGATTGAAATCCATTCTCTGCAACTTACTGCCTATTGTAACCTTAGGCAAGTCACTTAGTCTTTTTAGGCCTTATTAATTCATCCATAAAGTGAAGGAGTTGTACCACATGCTATCCAAGGTTCTTTCCAGAACTAAATCTGTGATGCTATAATTCTATCACTTTTGTTCTCAGAAACTAACAGTGGTTCCCAACACCTATTCAAATCAAATTTGTAATCATAGGTTGCATATCTCTCCATCTGTTAATCCTCATTTCCAAAATTTAACTGCCTTCCTTTACTGGTAAATCCTATTTTATCATTTCAGCTAAAAAAATTTAAGACATAGGCATAAGATGATCTTTCATCAACTTGCAAATTTCCTTCGTGTTATTTCTCCTACTTACATTGCCTTCCCAACAGCCTTTCCAATTGTGTGAATGTTATAAACTTTTTTTTTTTTAGGCAGTTGGGGTTAAGTGACTTGCCCAGGGTCACACAGCTAGTACGTGTCAAGTGTTTGGTCTGAGGCTGTATTTGAACTCAGGTCCTCCTGACTTCAGGGCCTGTGCTCTATCCACTGCACCACCTAGCTGCCCCTGTTATAAACTTTTATAGCAGCTAGGTGTCCCAGTGGATAGAGTGCCAGGTTTGATATTAGGAATACCTGAATCTCACATTTAGTAGTTATGTGACCCTGGGCAAGTCATTTAACCTCTGTTTGCCTGAGGTTCCTCAACTGTAAAATGGAGATAATACCATCACCTGCCTCACAGGGTTGTGAGGACCAAATGAGAAAATATTTGTAAAGTGCTTAGCACAGTGTCTGGCAAATAGTAGCCATGTAAATGCTAGCTATTATCATGCCAGTTTTTTGTTTGAGTATAACCAATGAGAATGACCTGATAAAAAGTTGTTGGGTTTTGCAAGCATTCTCCAGAGTCCCACCAGATCTAGGGGCTGCTGTGTTTAGGCTCATAAAATAAAGAGGACCTAGAAATTGCAGTTATACTCAGACTCAGGAGTTTCTTCAAATTGAGATTCTGTGAATCAGTATTGAGCTTTGTATTTTTCAAATAGGATCTATAAACATGCAGATTATAACAAACTGTTAGCAAGAGCAAAACCTATGAATGAAGAATACTTCTGTTAAATCGCTAAATGCTTCTTAAAAATAACATGTCAGTCTCAACAATTACAATTCATCTCTTTGTAATTTATTTCATGATAAGATCATAGGCTTTAGAGCCTGTGCAACAGACCTGCAAAAGTCATCTGGTCCAATCCCTTCAATTTATAGTTGAATAAACTGAGGCTTAGGTGATTTATTAATGATTTGCCCAAAATCACCAAAGGAGTAAGTAGCAGAGCTGAAATTCCAGCAGTGGTCTTCTGACTCCAAATTCAGTGTTCTTTTGATTTTACTGTAATGCTTCAAATGTTATTAAGTAACTATTATAAGTGAAGTAGAATATGTGTGTGTAGATAGATAAAAATAGATATATGTATTTACTATGGGCAAATGTACAGAAGGTCATCTAAATACAAACTGTATCTGATATACATACATTACAAGGCATCTTATCCAAATGGATTTTCTTTTTAAAATTGCTTTGTTGTACACTTTTAGGGGTTTGTTCTTTGCTATTCTGTGGTACTACAGGAGTGCTATGTTTGTGGACTTCAGAAAAACCTGGAAAGATTTATATGAACTGATGTTGAGTGAAGTGAGAACATTGTACACAGTAAAAGCAACATTGTACAATGACTAACTTTGATAGACTTAGCTCTTCTCAGCAATGCAAGGATCTAAGGCAATTCCAGAAGACTCATGATGGAAAATGCTATTCACATGCAGAGAAAGAACTATAGAGTCTGAATGCAGCTCAAAGCATATTGTTTGTTCTCTGTCTCTCTTTTTTTATTTTGTTTCCTCTTTTTCATGGTTCCTTCCATTAGTTCTAATTCTTCTTTATAACATGACTAATGTGCAAATGTGTTTGGAAAAAAAAAAGAAATACTATAATTTGTTTCCAGATAGGAGAAAAGTAACAGACTAGCTCTTAGATTAGACACCATAAAAGCCATGACCATGTGTGTGCCTACTTAGGGAAAGGATAACCTAGAAATAGTGTTTTTAATAAATAAGTAGGCTTTTTTGTATTTTGTCATCCTCAGGGATGCTTTATTATCAACTTTTAATTTTAAACAGTTCTCACCTCTTTCTAATTTTTTTCTCATTACTTTTTTATGAAATATATGTATATATTACATATGTATGTGTGTGTATATATGTGTGTGTGTGTGTATAAACAGGAGGTCCATATGAAAGGTAAACATAGGTTACCATAAGTATAGGAAGGGTTTTTAAATTAATAACCTAAATTTGTAAAATTTTTATTTTCATCTAAAATAAATTAGTTTTCTTCTGTTAGGTGCCTAGTTCAATGAAGATCAATACTTCCAAAGTTTGATTAGGTTTTTCATATAATTTTTTAACTGGAAATATATTAGAAAGCAGATGATGTGTAGTCCACCGTCTTTGTTTTCCAAATGAGGAAACCAAGGCCACAGAAGTTTGATTTAGCTAAGTACGTACAGTTCCTTAGGAGCAAAGCCAGGATTAGACCCAGGTCTTCTCACTATCTAAGTAAAATATTTTATTTGTTTGTGCAAATATTCTGTCTGGTAGGAAAAAACTTCCCCTCAAAAAGTAAACTGGAGAAACATGAGTAAGATAAATGAGATGGACAATGACATAGTCGTAGCCTGAAATTCATTCACAAGAAAGAAAATCACCCTCCATGTTGTTCTACACTCTACTCTAGCTGCAAGGAAACTGTCTTGACCCAATTTATCCATCTTTTACAGTGCTGCCTGAGGTTTGCTATATTCAGGTCAGTGTATGGCAGAGTTTCTTTTTAAATCACTGCTGTGATGAATATGAAATTATTTTCTGATCCCACATAGTATAGTCAAAAAAATCACAGTGAAACCTAGTCTAGCGGGAATGCTTTTGTTAAAGATTGGCTCTTTTGGCAGTCATGAGGGTGATATTAAGTGGAATATAGTAGAATGAAAATCTTTTGAGTACTCTCCCAGAAGATCCAGCACTTGGTACATTTGTAGCACAGTGGAATGCTGGAGGGCTGGATCTTGAGTCAGAAAGCCCTGAGTTCAAATCCAGCCTCAGATACTTAGTAGCTTTGTGATGATGGCTAAATCACTTAACCCTTGTCTGCCTTAGTTTTCTTATCTGTAAAATGGAGATAATAATAGCACATACTTCAAGAGTTGTTAAACAAGGACAAAATGAGATAATATTTGTAAAGTATTGCAAACCTTATAGTGCCATAGATGCTAGCTATCATTATCATTGTTATTGTTATTGACAAAAATATCCTTTGAAGGCTTCCTGTTTGAAGAATCTTTCAGTCAAGTATAAAGTGAGTAATGCAAACAGGTCCTTATATTTGACGTTGTATACTAATGCAGAACACCCTGTCCTTGCCCTGAAGAAATTTTTTTTACCTTTAAATGTCTTCCACAAGATTCTATTTAAGAAAAAAAATTGCAGATTGCATATATAATTACTTAATGTTTTTCCTGTTACAGGCTTGTAAAAGAGGAAACTCGGATATTGTAAGGCTTGTGATTGAATGTGGAGCAGATTGTAATATTTTGTCAAAACATCAGAATAGTGCTTTGCATTTTGCTAAGCAGTGTAATAATGTATTGGTATATGACCTGCTGAAGAGTCACTTAGAAACGTAAGTATGAAATAAAGATGCTTAAAGCCATGTTTACTTAGGGACTTTAGAGTGGTTATTTTAGTTGCAAAATATTTTTAAGAAATATAATTTCAGAGGCAGAGCCAAGTTGGCGGAATAGAGAAGCACTAAGCCAAGCTCTCCCAAATTCCCCTCCAAACAACTCTAAAATAACAAATTGGATTTTGGATCAGTAGAATGAACAAAAGGTCAACTGAAACAATTTTACAGTCCAAGACAACTTAAGAGGTCGACAGGAAAGTCCTGTCTCACCTTGGGTGGAGCTGAGGTGGTCAGGAGCACAGTGAAGACTGTGCAGCACAGGCCGTGCCACAGGCCCAGAGGTGCGCCTTGGAGGCAGCTTCATTGGCAGCAGTAGAACTTTTGGAACTCTCAGCCTGCAGACAGTGTAGGGTTCAGACAGCTGGTCCGAAGGAGATTGCATGGGAGCCGTTGCTGCCATTGGCATCAGGGCCTTTTTGCATTGTCTGTACGTAGATCTGGGTCACGGTCCCAGAGCCAAAAAGAGCTACAGTACTTGTATCTACAGCGGAGCAGGGGCCCAGTCATGGTTCCAGGGTGGAGAGGAGTGTTTGTGGTTGCTCATGGAGGAGTAGAGATCTTCATCTCAATTCCAAGACAGAGGGAGCACTATCAATTGTAGCTGCAGGAGAGCAGAGCGCCTAGTCACCGTCCCAGGGCCAGGAGAAGTGCGAGAGCTGGTTACTACAGGGAAACAAGATTTCTTCCTGAGTAAAGACCAGAGCACAGGCTAAGAGATCAATGACCAAACTTTCCTTAGATCATACAAGCTTGGAAACGTGGAAGCTTGGTACAGTGCCCCCTCCAACCAGGGAGCAGAGCACAACTTTAACATTAAATTAAAAGTCAATAAATGGCTGGAAAAAATGAACAAGGAAAGAAAGAATCTAACCATAAAAGGTTACTGTGGGTAACAGGGAGGATCAAAATACAAACTCAGAAGAAGAAAATTAATTCAAAACAGCTACATGCAAAGCAGCAAAGAAAAAAATGTGAATTGGTCAGAGGTTTTAAAAAAAAAAAAGAATTTGGGAAGAGCTTTAAAAAGGATTTTAAAAATCACATGAGAGATAGAGGGAAAATTGGGATGAGAGGGATATAAGAAAATCATGAAAAAAGAATCAACAGCTTGGTAAAGGAGACACAAAAATATACTGAAGAAAATAGCACTTATTAGTAATTCCAGTTCTGTATAAACTATTTGGGAAAATAGGCAAAAGGAGTCCCACCAAATTTCTTACATGACATAAATATGGTGCTGATCCCTAAACCAGGAAGAGCAAAAGCAGAAAGAAAACTATAGACATATTTCCGTAATGAATATTAATGTAAAACTTTAAAATAAAAAACTGACCAGGAGATTTGCAAAGATCATACATTATAACCAGGTGGGATTTATACCAGGAATGCAGAGATGGTTCAGTATTAGGAAAACTATCAGCAAAATTGACTATATCAGAAACAAAAACAACAAAAATCGTATGATTACTTCAATTGATGCAGAAAAAAAAAGCTTTTGACAAAATATAACACTCATTCCTATTAACAATCTTGAAAAGCTTAGGAATAAATGGAGTTTTCGTTAAAATGATAAGTAGTACATATCAGACCATCAGCAAGCATTATCTATAACAGGGATGGGCTAGAAATCTTTCTAGTAAGATTAGGGGTGAATCTAGGATACCCATTATCACCACTATTACTCTTAGAAATGCTAACTATAGTAATAAGACAAGAAAAAGAAATTGAAGGAATTAGAATAGGTGATGAGGAAACAAAACAATCACTCTTTGCAGATGATATGATGTTATACTTACAGAGTCCTAGAGAATCAATTAAAAAACTCATTGAAATAATTAACAGCTTCAACGGAGTTGTAGGATATAAAATAAACCCACATGAATCATCAGCATGTCTATATATTTCCACCAGAGTCCAGCAGCAAGAGATTCCAGCAAGAGAAATTCCATTTAAAATACCCACAGACAATATAAAATACTTGGGAGTCTATCTGCCAAGCTAAACCTAGGAGCTCGATGAAGATAATTACAAAACACTTTTCACACCAATAAAGTCATATCCAAACAATTGGAAAAATACTAATTGCTCATGGGTAAGCTGAGCCAATATAACAAAAATGACAATTCTACCAAAATTAATTTACTTATTCAGTGCCTTACCAATCAAATCACCAAAAAAAATAAAAAGTATAGATTTATATGATGATCAGGATGCTTTTAGAAAAGCCTGGAAAGACTTACATGAACTGATGCTGAGTGAAGTGAACAGAACCAGGAGAATTGCACACAGTAACAACATTGTACCATGATTAACTATGAATAACTTAATCTCAGCAATACAATAATCAGCAATAATATGATGAAAAATGCTATCTACCTCCAGAGAAAGAACTGATAAGAGTCTGAATGCAGATTAAAGTACTCTCTTCTAACTATCTTTGTCATGGATAGGGGGAGAGTCTAGATTTTATTTTGCAACATGGCTAATATGGAAATGTTTTGCATTATTCTATGTGAAGAATCTATGTCAAATTGCTTGCCTTCTCAAAGACAGGGGTGGCAAGGGAGGGAGAGAATATGGAACTCAAGATTTTAAAAAAAGAATGTTAAAAAGTTTTACTTACATATGATTGAAAAAAAAAATAAAATGAAAATTAAAAGAAATAAGTTTGCATAACTTTCAAGTACATGCAATCATTTCTTAGAAAAGAATTTCAAAAATGTCTGCTATAGTGATTAGATTGTATGATATTTGTAGAGGGCAAGAGTTAACATTTGTATATACTTGGCTATTTGCTGGAGTCCTTAAAAATGTTAAAAGGCCCTGAAAAGTTTCCTCTAAACTTTAAATATTCCTTTATAACTTTATTGAGGCTATTTATTAGCAGACCCTTTTTTAAACATACATAAATTAAACTTCTGAATAGTTCAAATTGGGATTGATTTTAGTGTTCCTACTTAGGCATTTAGAACCTCTGGGTCACTCCTCCCTCAAATTCTGAATTATTACTTGGATTAATAATGATAGATAAAACCTACTAAGGTGGTAACACAATAGAAATTTGAACATCTTCCCATTAAGAGTTTGTGTCACTAATAAGTAATATTTGACTAGTCTATGAAATATGGAAAATTAATCTGCTTTTAAGTATCATATTTTGATCAATCACTTTAAAAATGTAAACTTTTAATGAATTCTAATGCAGAAAAACTTGTCCAGATTAACACTGGTGACTGTGTCTTCTCCTCTTTCTCTCTGTTCAGACTCTCAAGAGTGGCAGAAGAAACCATAAGGGACTACTTTGAAGCCCGGCTCGCCCTCCTAGAGCCCGTGTTTCCAATAGCGTGTCACCGCCTTTGTGAGGGTCCAGACTTTTCAACCGATTTCAATTACAAACCACCACAGAACATACCAGAAGGTGTCCCTTTATGGTTTTCTTTTGTATGAACTGTATATTGCAGTAAAAATATTATCTGAATGGGATCTTTCTAAATGATTCAGTCATTTAATATTAGAGTTCAATCCCAAAGGTGTTTCTTGGAGTATATACTTTATGAGAAATGGAAGAAAGCAGATTAGTGATGCAGTTGTCTAGACCAAGTATAACCAAAAGAGGACCATGCTGGAGGTGGAATAATTTTGAGGTTATTGAGAGTTTGATTCTGAAGTTATCTCAAAGGGGAAAATGATAAAAGGCATGGAAAAAATCTGAGACCTTACTACAAAAAAAAAAAAGCACCTGATATGACATTGATAACTATTAACCCATATGCTACATTCACTATAAAATTATCATGACAGTAAATTTTACATGCATTGAGGACATTCTTGAAACTCATAAGATGTGGGAACAGGCAAACTTCTTCTGTAAAGGATACAGCGACCATGTTTTTAACAGTCATACTGTTGACTGAAAGGTCTAAAGAGCACAAGATTCCATTGCACTTGTTTTTTGGCTATAGAAAGTATTTGATCTTGTATGGCAAAATACCACTCTGCTCCAACAGGTGTCATAATGTCATAATAATACAGATTTCCTTGAAAGATACAGGAACAGAAATTACTATTTGGCATAAGGCTTAAAATGAAAAGGTATTAATGCTTGCCATAGATGTGTACCACCACTATGGAATGTCCATTGTAGAGTCCAAACTAAAGAGCTCTTCCACAGAGATGATGTATGTGGTCTTCTAGATATTTCTTTTTGTAGATGCCATTATTTTGATATCTTCAGTCCAGAGCATTGCAAAGCCACCTAAACGAGAACCATAATTACTCTTAAAGTGTTTTCCCATTAGGAATAACCAAGTGGTTAAAGAATGCTTCATTAGACTATAATATGCAGTTGGGTGGGTCATTCATGGAGCTCATCTCTTGGTATCTATGTTTTGGACAGATACTACAGACAGTTGATTAGAGTTGAACTCTAAGTAGAGTTGAACAAGAGAAGAGCAAGTTGGATTGCCTTTGGGACATTGCATATTTCTTTGACTGATCCTAGAAATGAAGGGCCCTCTTTTTTTTTTTTTTAAACATTGTTAATCTTCTGGTGGTGTTGTGTATCTATGAGTCATGGAACACTGTAGTTTATGAAGAATTGAAGTTGAGGATCATCCAAAGGGCAATGGAGAGTATGGTGCATGGTGAGTGTGAGGATACTATAGTACATTGCAAATCCAATTATGCAGTAGAAGTTATATAAAAAATGTCATCAGGGAAATATATGACCAGAAAAAAAAAGGTAGGCTATATTCATAGTAAGAGTGAGAGATGAGGCAGCTAGCTGGCGTAGTGGATAGAGCACCAGCCCTGGAGTCAGGAGGACCTGAATTCAAATCTTGCCTCAGACACTCACTAGCTGTGTGACCCTGGGCAAGTCACCTAACCCTAATTGCCTTAAAAAAAAAAAAAAGAAAGAGGGAGAGATAATTGATGGTTATCACTTAGTGCATGCTTTTGATTTCAGTGCCATCCAGAGAATGTGAGGAAGTCTCCTAGTACATAGGTTGAACAAACCAGATTTATTGGAGAGCAGAGATAAGAATTGTATAGTATTGTAAAGCCGGATCGGATTGAGATTTACTTCATTGGAAGCAGTACCTACGTGGATAATAAAGTTTTATTGGAGAATTTCTCCTTTCTCCTGTATGTCCTTTAAGACCAAGTTTAATACATAATTAAAGCTAGGTAGTTAAGTGGGTAGAGTACTGGCCCTGGAGTCAGGAAGATCTGAGTTCAAATCCAGTCTTGGATACTTACTAGCTGTGTGACCCTGGGCAAGTCCCTTAACCTCATCTTGGGGATGATAATTATAGCACCTACCTTCCAGGGTTGTTGTGAGGGTTAAATGATATAATATTTATCAAGTACTTTGCAAATCTTAGCATATAAATGCTGGATGTTATTTCTAATTGGATATTGAAATGATTAAAATTTTTCATTACGTAACTTGAAGGAGTAAAAATGAATAGGATATAAACATGGAGGATTTGAGTAATCACAGTATTTGGTTAAACATTTAATTATTATTAATTTTTCTTTACTTTTGTTTGTTTGACTTTCTGGAGATTAGAGGTGTTACTTGAGATAAGGGAGGAGTGATGAAAACAATGGCAGCCATCATGTTGGTGCCCAATAAGTGTTGTTTAAAGAATACAAAGTGAAAATTAATGACAAATTACTATAAAAGATGCCTGGTGATGAATTTTCCTGAAAATTCACTGGCCTTTCATTGAAGGCTATATTGTTAACTGGAAAAATAAACAAGAAAGGGAAAAAACAGAGTTGAGTAATTGACCTACCTTTGATGATAGCTCCAGCCTCCTTTTAATAATTGTTTCATGAGTAATCATGAACTCACCCCCCCCAAAAATTTTTTTTTCTCCTGTTAGCCAGTTTTATGGAAATTAGCCTCTCTCTACTTAGTAACTGTGTAGGCCTCAGCCAGTAGATATAATCTTTTACCAAGACTGTACAGCAGACTGGATTGTCTTCAGAAAATTTTACAGTCCATTTAACAACCCCAAACTTCTCCCTGAAATGAAGGTCTCTATTTTTAACACTACTATCTTTTTGAAAATGTCATATGACTGTTATATATGCCAGGGTCTCTAAAGAACTGAAGTTAAGAATTACCCAGAAAGACAGTAGAGGGAGACATGGTAGATGTGAGTAGGCTATAATCTGTTACAAATGAGAAATTATACAGATAAATCTTGTGCAAGGTATTATAAGGAAAATGTATGACAGAAAACAAGATGGCTGGTTATATAGGGAGACTAAAGAATATTTGATAGCTTATGGTCTCCAATTCCAGCTTTGTAGAACTTGTCAGTGGTTGTGTTGTCTTGGCACAGCTTTTAAGGACCCAAAGCCTAACTCTTTGTCTCAGTGATCCTACTGTTAGAAGTAAGCCCCAAGGACACGAAAGACAAAGAAAAGTCCCATATACAACAGAACATTCATAGCAGCTTTTTTTTTCTTGTTGAAAAGCATTGGAAACAAAGTAGATTACTGTTGATTAACAATGTAAGCAAATTGTGGGACATGAATATAATGGAGTATTACTAAACTGTAAGAGATGATGAATATGAAGAATTTTAAAAAGCATAGGAAGATTTAGATGAACTGACACAGTACAGTAAGCAGAATCAAGATAATATTCATGGTTTTAAGCTACTAAAGTTTAAAACTACAGTAAGATTTTTGGAACACCCTGTATACGATGGATACAATGTAAATGGAAAGAACTAAAAGCTGAACTGAATGCTTTGTAATGTGTCAATTATGTGTTGTCTCTCCATTAGGATATGAGCTTTTTAACAACTAACTTCGTTATTTGTATCCTTAGCATTTAGCATAATGTTTTGCACATAGTAAATGCTTAATAGATACTTTTAAATTCATCCATATATAATTTTAATGATCAATTTATCCCCAAAGAAGAGATGATAAAATGCACCTTCTCTTCTTCATAGATGTGGAATAGTGTATACGTACATATGTGTGTGTATGTATATATATATGAATATACATATACAGAGATATATATACATATATACACACCCACACTCTCATACATAAGTACATACACACAGATACAGAGAGAGCGAGAGTCAGATTTGGTTGAAGTGTTGGTTAGTTTTGCTGAACTATTTTATTTTCTTCCCTTTTATTTATTACATGGGAGAGGTAGACTTCTAGATATGGAGACGAGGGGTCAAAAGATACTTTGGAATGGAGGTGATAAGTGTGTGTGTTTACATACACACACACATATGTATACACACACACACAGAGGATATCAGTGAAATTAAATAACAAGGAAAATAAAGGGAAAAAGTAGTATTACCTCCATACTACGATGGAGATGTTAGGTACAGCTTTTAATTAATTAACAATAAAATGTTGAGTTAATTTCCAGAATAGAAATTGCATTTTAAATCCATTTCATTAATTCAATTAACCTGTTAATTCAACAGGTTTTAAAAATTAAATTGTGTACTTTTGGTTGTTTATTCTTAAATCAGCATTTTCAACTTTTTAAAAATAAATTATATTTATTATTCTTTTAAAACTCAGAATCACTTTTTTCCCTACATTTGCCCAGTTGATAGTTTCTATTTAAATGCTTTAACAGAGAAGATAGAAAGAATGCTGTTGGCATTAGGAAATGGAAGTTCTAGTTTCTCTTACTTAAGTAGGTTTATGACTGGTAAATCACTTCCTTTCTCTTGGTCTATTTCTTTGTTTGAAACCAGTATATGACACCTTGCCTATTTAAAGTCATAAACATAATGGGATGGAGAATGGCTGTAGGATCCCTCCCCAGTGCTTGGTGTGATTCTGTGACTTAGATTTTTAAGCATTGTTTGGGCTGCATATGAGTAAAGGTTAATGTCAATGATAGCAATTTTCAAATACTGTCAAGTTTGTTGTACAGAATAATTAGTGCAAAAATGCTGACTATTGCCCAGTGCGACAAAATAGCTTTGAAATGAAAGCACATCTCATTGGGAGGCCAGTGGTTCTATATGCACAGACTGAAAGAAAATGTTTTTTTCAAGTAAAGGGTAAAAATGGTATCAAGTAATGAATCTACCAAATTTGTTAAGTCCCAAAGTCATTTTTAGGCAATACGCGGTAGCCTGGCATTGGTTAATTAAGTACCTAAGTAGTGCTGCTATTAGAGTCAGACCTGATTTCAACTCATGACTCATTTAGTGTTGCTGTGACTGGGCCAGTCACTTGACCTCTCAGCCTCAAGTTACTCTTCTATTAAATGAAAGACTTGGCCTTGGTGCTCTGAGGTTACTTCTAGCTCAGTGTGTGTGATCCTTTGACTTCCCTTGTACAGACAGGGAGGTAAAGGCCCTTTTCAGACTTCACAATGGGTACGCAGTGCGGCAACTTTTTCCGGTTTGCCCTGCCGTGAAGGAAGAAGTGTGATGTATGGTGGGGTCTGCGAAGGGATAAAGATGTGGCATATTTCTTTTGTCTTCCTCAAGTATTGTAAATTTCACTGCAAAAAAGTCAGTGGTTGAAAACTTGATTAGATATTTTGAGGACTGTTGTGCTCTTTTCAGCATTAGTTTTAGGGCAGAGAATTTTATTTAGTAGACTATGAGCCAGGGAGAGGATTAGAGTGAATTGTTTGTAGTAGCATTTTATGGTAGCTTAAATTTAAAGCATTTAAACTTTTGATGCCACTACTATTTGCTCATGATTTTGCCTATTCTTAGTTAATGTATTCTTAAGGATTTCCTTTCTCATTCCAGATAGCAACTGTTTAAAATCATTTACTTTCTCCTTAAATCCCTTACTGAGGCCCCTCCCTACTTACAGCAGAAAGTCTCTTGCTTCGCTGAGCTTAGGGCTCAGTGGGAGTTTGCTCAGTTCCCCTCCTTCATTCCTCAAAACTTGTGAGCATTGTCATCCATTTCTTCCTCCTGTCTCAGGAAAAGGTATCTCTAATCCAGCTACTATGTACCCTTTATTGCATCCCCATCCACTTTCTCTAGGACCTGATTCCAGTAATCATTTCCCCCTCTCCCATGTGTCTTATTTTATTTTAAATTTTTCTTTATTTTCAAAAAAATTATTTTGTTTTAATCAGCCAAGATCCACATTCTCATTCTTCCCCTATCATGCCCACTCCCCACCCCGAATCCCCTATCCCCTGCCCCACACCCAGTTGGAGTTCAAGAAAAAGATGAGGACTGAATATGTAGATTTGATAGGAATATGCATTAGAGATAACTGAACCCTTGGAAGCACATTAGGTTTAGTGAGAGCATAGAGACTGAAGACAGCTTGGAGGTACACCTATGCTTAGTGGTAGAACATAGTAGAATGAGAAGAACCAGTAAGATGGGGAGGAGATAGTATTCCTGGAGAAGAGAGGTGGTCAGTAGTGTCAAAAGCTGAAGAAAAATCAAGGATGAGGGCTTTTTTTTTTAATTAGAAAAGGTTATTGGTCATCTTGGAATAAAAGGTCTCAGATATGTTTGTGTCCACTTTCCAGAATTGGAAGCCAGATTGCAAAAGGTTGGGAAAATGAGTGGGAGGTAAAGAAGTGAAGGCAACAAATGTGACATCTTTTTCTAGGAATTTGGCTGTAAAAGGGAGTAGTATGATAGTATAATAGCTTCAGGGGTGCTGGGGGTCAGAGTGAAGGGTTCTTAAAGCCACATTTATAGGTAACAGGGAAGAAGTCAGTGAATAAGAAGAGACTGAAGTGAAAGAGAATAGGTGATTTGACAGGGCAAGGTGACAGAGAGGATGGAAGGGGTAGTGTGGAGGAGTTGGTGCTGACAAAGAAAAGGGCCAGCTCACAGATTGGAATGAAAGAAAAAATTGGATTTGATATTGAGGTTTATTAAATAATGAAGAGGGAACTCAGGGTGAGTTAACTTATTTTCTCAGTGTAGTAGAAGGTGAAGTCCTCTTCTGGGGGACATTTAGAATGTTTCCAAATTTCATTCCGTTTTGATATGTCCTCTCTTTATGTGTTCTCCATTGAGATGAATTGACTGGCTCTCTGTTCCACAACTCTGTATTCTATCTTTCCTTTGTGTCTCCTCTCCTCATACTCCAGCTCTTGACATCATCTGTAGTTTTCTTCAGAGATCAACTCAAATGCTCTCTCCCATACAAGGCTTTTGCTAAACAGTTTAAGTTTTACAAAAAATTGTCCTGTGAAATTGGTCATATACATATTGTTATTCTCATTTTATAAATAAGGAGGTTCATCCTTAAAGAAGTTAACTAACTTACCCATGGTCACATCACTGGGAACTATGGGATTTGAAAGCACACAATCTGATTTCAGTAACCAGCTTTACTTGATACTCAGACTCTGCACAGGCATGTACAATGGATGTCTCCAAGTAGGAGACATTAACATTAAAATAATATTAAAACTGCTGTCCTTCTTAAATATTTTCTTTTTGTTTTATTTTTGACTCTTCCTTTTCCCTCACCATTCATTATTTCTAGCCAATCATCTCCCAAGTTCTGTGGATTCTGCTTTCATACTACCTGACATCCACTGCCATTATGATTTCATTTCCCATTATCACCACTCTAACAATTAAAGTCCTTCTTACCATGTTCTGGAACTATTACAATTTAATTTCTTTTGTTCCACCTCCTGCCAGCTATGAGGGGGAGAAAAAGCCCTTGTAACAAGTTTTTATGGTCCAGCAAAGCAAATTCTTACATTAGCCATATCCACAAGTATATGTTTGCCTCAAGTCTGTCAGAATGTGGGTTTGTCATTGCATTGATCAGACTTCTTAATTCTTCTTAAGTTTGTCTTTACAGTGTGTTGTTAATTGTATAGTCTCCTGGTTCTGCACACTTTATTCTGCATCAATCCTTACAAATCTTCCCAGGTTTTTCTATAAGCATTCCTTTTGTCATCCCTTGTCTTATAGCTCAATAGTATTGTTACATAATGTGTTTATCTGTTCTCCAATTAACAGGCACCCCATTTACAAAAGGAGTTTCTATAAATATTTGTGCGTGTGTGTGTGTGTGTGTGTGTGTGTGTGTGTGTGTACATGTCCGTGTCCTGTTCCTCTTTTTTAAAATCTCTTTAGGGCATTATCTAAACTTCATTTCTGCCAGATTATTTCTCAATAGTTTTTGTTAAATAGTGAGATCTTACCCCTAGTAACTTAGGGCCTTTGGGTTTCTCGAACACTAGTCTCTGCTAGATTTGTTTTCTTTTGTAAATTGTGTATTTAATGTATTCCAATGATTGATGTGTCTAGTTTAAATTAGTACCAAATTATTTTGATGGTTGTACTTTGGGATGTAGTATTACTTAAGGCCACCTTCCTTTTCACTTTTTTTCATTGTTTTCCTTTAGATTCTTGATTTATGTTTTTCTTAACGAATTTAAACTATAATTTCTAAGAAGATTATGGTGCTTTAGGAGAATTTGCTAATTATTTCATTCTGTGAGTTTGTGTGTGAAAAGATTTCATTGTTCTCTTTGTTCTTATTTAGGCTCTGGAATTCTCCTGTTTATATTCCATGCAAACTTTTTTGGTAAGGAAGTCATTGCTCGACTTTGCGGACCATGTAGTGTACAAGCTGTAGTTTTGAATGACAAATTTCAACTTCCTGTATTTCTGGTAAGATTTGTGTATGTGTAACTGAATTAAATTACATTCTTTGGTCTTTCTAATATCATTTGTAAGAGTTAATAGGATTCATGGTATTTAATACTGAAGGACACATTTTTTCCATTTTACAAGTCAATCAGATTCCTTAGTTAACAGAAGTATGTATATAGTAAATCCTTGGTTAACCAGTATTCAAGGAATGTGTAACTAACCATCATTTAATCAGAAAAATTGAATTAAATACAAAATCCTAATTGTTGTAGCTTTTATTAAAAAAAATTATTTAAACATGTTAGTTCAAAATTCAACCTTAGCAAATACTGTGATGAAAATAATTGGGTAATTCTTTGATAACGATTTAGCACTACAGAGTAATCATGCTGGACATTAGTTCTTATTCTACTATATAGAGATGTAGAAGGCCTAGAAAACTGAGTAAAAGTATGCTAAACCCAAAGCCCCTTTGCCCCTCTCCTCAGTAAATCTCTGATAAGAAGTTACTTTATTGGGGGCAGCTAGGTGCCGCAGTGGATGGAGCACCGGCCCTGGAGTCAGGAGGACCTGAGTTCAAATCTGGCCTCAGACATAACACTTGCTAGCCGTGTGACTCTGAGCAAGTCACCTAACCCCAATTGCCTCACTCCCTCAAAAAAAAGTTACTTTCTAATCATTTGGTTTATTCTCATAAATAACCTGGGAACCAAAATCCCCAAATGACATTCATTTTATGGTTCTGGTAATGTGACGTTTTGCCATACTCTTGAAATATTCTGGCAAAGGAGTTCAGTTATGACTTTCTAGCACCATGAAAACATGGTGCATGTGCATTGCTTATGACTTTTCAAATAATGCTCCAAGATAGTTCTGCTTCATAACTTTCTAAAGTGTCTTCATTGAGATAAACTTGAATATTTCTCTTTGATCCCCTTGGGTCTGAATCATAATGGAATATTGCTGTCCTCTGAGTCATTATAAGCTGCATTAATAGATTTTTAATGATTTGTTTTACAGTCTTGGCATACATGGAGTTGTTTTCATATGTGTTCTGATTAATTTTCTTTTGTTACCTTCTAGGATAGCCATTTTGTTTATTCCTTCAGTCCTGTTGCAGGCCTCAATAAACTTTTTATACGCCTGACAGAAGCACCTTCTGCCAAGGTAAAAGATCTTTTCCTAGCCAAATCAAAATCTCATTTTAAGTGTTTGAACATGATTCCCAACCTATTTTGAAATCCTGTCAGTTCCACTTTCCATTTCCATTTCTATTCCTGTTACCAAAAAGGGCTAACAAGATAAGTTTGCAAAATTAGCAAAATTTCTTATTTGTGTAATGAGATATTGAAAACCTACTAATAGAGGCACTCCAGGTGTATCAGTCATAATCAGTTTCTGGAAAATTAACATTAAATGAAACACTTTTGGGGTAGATGCAGTGTTATGATTTGTTGTTCAAGTGATTGTTGAATTACATTACAAGCAGAGTTTTGTAACATAATGTTCAGTTATACTTGCAGTCTGATGTAGTTATGTACAGTATGCTTGTTTATTTTTCTCCATGATGTGTTTTTCTCTTTGAGAGGGAGCAAATAGTTATTTATACTAAAAAATGACAATTTTGTCTTTCCTTTCATAGGTAAAATTGCTTATAGGTGCATACAGAGTGCAATTGCAGTGACCAAAAAAAGGCAGCTATAAGGATCATGACGAAGTTATTTTTGAACCTGACACTGGTTACTTCAGTCTGATAAAGCAGTTTGGAATACTTACTTCTGGCACATCAACACTTTCAAAACAATATTCTACTACCTTTCTTTTAAAAGTTTTTTTTCTGCAACAGCTTGCTGATTATTACCTGTCATCTGGTATGTTCACTATGGGGGGTGAGGGGTGGAGTGGGGAATGACACGGTTATCTGATATTTTGTACAATATAGATGTAAGTATTTGTGCCAGTACCTTAAATATTGATTTCCTTTGTTATATCCAGACTGCATATTTTAGCTTTTCCACAATGTGGAGTGGTGCATATAAGAATTATTTAAATTAGATGAAAGATTTTTTTTAATCCTGAAATTTTCTACTAGTCTTAATGTTTCTATGTTTAAAAATGAAGTGTAAACCTGTCACATGCATAAACTTAGGGAAGTGTGTCACATTTGAAAGTTACTGCTTCTCTTTTGATGGCTAGACTCTAAGTCACTGAAGATCTAAATACAAATTGGACCTGTTATCTTAGGTGTTTCTCTAGGCAGAGTGGTAGGCATGTTTAAAAACAGGTCATATTCTAAATTTATTTAGAAAGCATGGAAAAAATTAGCTGGGCTTAGCTGATTCAGGTTACTCTGTTATAACATCATAAGCATAAAGGATATAGTGAAGATTAATTCCATAAATTTAAAGTTATGCTTTATTCATAGTAATGTATTGAAAGATATTTAGATGATACATTGGGATGCTTATAGACAAACCAAGAATAGTATTGACCAGATTTGGGGTATTATGAACCTTTTAAAGGGATATAATTTAGCTCTGTGTTTCAAACACTTAGGTAACTTGTTACCTATCTTTGTTCAAATACTTTAATCAGAAAATTTTTTAAATTCAATTGGAAACATTTTAAAATCCCAACTGTGCCTTGCTGTTCTGGTTGTTCCATGGAATTTAGATACCACAATGTGCCTCTATGCTTAGCAGAACTATAGTGAACAAATACTGCTTAATGCTCACTGTTAAAATGGTGTGATTATATTATAAAATACCCTTTTAAGAGCTGATGTTTTGCAACTACTAATAAATCTATTTCATTTTAAGTTATGGGAAAACAGATGAAAGATTTGTTCTTTTTTTTTTTTCTTAGCTCTAGACTAGTTTCTGTAATATCAAACTATTATAGTTTTAATGAAATGTATTTCAATTTTTTGGAATGTCACGTTATGCTAAATAAAATAAGAACAACAACTCACTTTTATATTTCATTTATCCATTGTTACTTTTCATCCAACTACTGCTTTTCTATCCCATATTTTATTTTACATATCAGAATATGTGCTGATAATTCTTTGCAGTTTCAACAAAAATATTTGTTACTCTTCGTATACTTCTGTATCTTAAATCTTAGGACAACAGTAAATACTGTTTTTTTAGAAAAATGACACCGTGGTGATGGATACGAAATAATTGTTAGAACTGGGCTTTCACAACAAGATTGAAACTTGGTTAAGGGGTCCATACATTTTCATTTTAGAATTCATAGAATCAATTACCTAAATCATCCGTCTCTTAAGGAACCTACAGTCTAGAATGGAAAACATAGAGGTGTTAAAAAATAAATATTGCCCTGAGAATACTGAACAGTTTTCTGACTTACTGACCTGTTGCTGCCCTCACCCCATTATCTCCTGACCTACAGAAGAGTGCTGCACTTCAGATCTTATTTTTGGTACTTAGTAGTTGTATTTAAGTGGGTAAATCACTTAATCTCAGTAAGTCAGGGGTTTCTTTACCTTTTTTTTTTAATGTTGTGGACTCCTGGTAAAGACTGTGGACCACTCAGAATAATGTTTTTAAATATGTAAAATAAAATACATAGGATTATCAAGGAAGCTGATTGTACTGAATTAAAGACCTCAGATTAGAGCCCCTGATCTAAGCCTGTTTATCTGTAAAATGAGGATAATAATACCTTTAGGAAGTGAGTGTACTAAATGAGATAGAAGTGCTTTACTAATCTTAAGATACTTCTTGGGGGAGGGGGGAGGTAGAGTTAGCAAGCAAGGGTCAATTCCCCTAAGCCTGGGTGACCTACTGAAGGTTTAGGCTCCTTAAGTATGAGAATGGGAATCAGCTCCTGCCCCTCCCAGAACAGACCTGAGGAGTCTGTCTACTCAGTCAGCATTTATTGAGCACTTATTACAGTAGCTTAGTGCCATACATGGTGGTAAACACTTGGGAAATGAAGAGAAGCAAAAACACTATGCCTCCTCCTGGAGGAGTTCACCTTCTAATGTGGTAATGACCTGTAAATGTACATGTATATCTTGCATATACATTTACATGTGTCTCCCATTGTGAAGATGTCAAAGATACTTCATACTTGACAGATGAGAGGTAAAGAAAAGATATTCTCAGCAGGCAAGCTTTAGCAAATGCAGAAGACTGGAAGGGCCTCATACAGATGAATTTTGAGTTGAATCTTGAAGGGAGTCAGTGAAATTAAGAGGAGGCAGAGCTTTCTAGGCATGGGAACAACATTTTAGTAGTAGAATCATGGACTGCATGAAGGAAAGTAGAGTATAAGGGGCTAGGTCATGAAGGACTTTACCTTCCAAACAACAGTTTTATATTTGATCCTGAAGGTAATAGGGAGCCTGGAGTTCAAGTAGCTTGGTGACATGGTCAGATTTCTGCTTTAGGAAAACCATAGGCAGCTCAGTGGAGGATGGATTGGAGTGGGGAGAGGCATAAGGAAGAGAGAACAATCAGAAAGGCATTGGAGTAGTCCAGGTAAGAGGTGATGAGGGCCTGTGCTAGAGCAAAGAGAAGAAAGTGTAGATGAGAGATATATTGTGAAGGCAGAAACAAGACTTGACAAGAGATTGGATATATAAGTTAGGTTGAGCGGGGGAGTCAAGGATGACTTGACTGTGATGACTAGTGAGCCTGGGTGAGTGGGAGGCTAGTGCCCAGCAAAGTATTGAGTTAGTCCCAACTTAGAAAAAATTGAGTTTATGAAGGAGAATAGTATGAAATAAGACAGAAAGTTAACTAAGTCAGAGTCGATAAACATTTGTTCAGCTCCCGTTATGTGCCAGAACTGTTCAGCTCCTGCTGTGTGCTAAGCCATGGGGTTACAAAGAAAGGCATAAGACATTGCCTGCCCTCAAGGAGCTAACACTAATGGGGATGACAACATATGAAAAGAAGATGAAAAGCTAGGGGGGAGAAGGAGGAGATGTGTGAAGGGAGGAGAGACTGAGGTAAGAGGGAGGTTCCCTAGTCCAGGAGGCATGATAAAGTCATTCAGCCAGCATGGGCAATGAGAATTCCCTGAGTGACCTCCTTAAATGGTAGAAGATCAAGGAGGAGCAGCCAGAGGGAGGGAAGGGACCAAGGGGCAGGGGGTACTGAGGAAGTGTGAGTTTCCAAGTTGATTTCATCTTCCAGAATGATGATCTGGGATTATGTGAAGTCCAAGCAGCTGCATAGAAAATGAACCCTCATGGAACCACCTCTTAAGTTGACGTGGTGAGCCAACTCTCCAATTAAGTTGACAGAAGGCGATGGTGGGCAAAAGATTACCTTAAAACAAGTTTCAAATAAGTAATTTCGGGAATGCATACTTACACATTTTAATGGTAGCATTACTCTAAAGTAAGATTTTCCTCTTTAGATCTTTACCTAAGTTACAAAAACACTTGTCATAAAAAAATTTGCTTTGTAATACTTGCATTCTAACATTCTTATTTTTTTCCTTCCTACTTCTATTGCCAGAACAGGCATGTAAAGTGTGTGTGCTGCAGAGGCAGCAGGGCCTGGTAGATAGAGTTCAAGCCCTAGCTCTGGCATACTGGCTGTATAGTGCTGGGAAAACGTCTTCATCTGTCAGTGTCCCAGGTAATATGTACTGCCCTAGGCAGAGTACCTGAAGATCTACATTACTACTTTATAGTACTGGAAGTACCCTATGTCAGAGGAATCCCAGGTCTGATCCCCAAAAAGGAAAGGTATATACTAGGGGGAATCAATCAGCAAATATTTGTTAAACAACTACACTGTGCCAGGGCCACTAGAGATACAGAGACAGAAATGAAACAGGCCCTTAGGGTGTTAACATTTTTTTCTAGTGAGATCATATATAAATGTAATAATACATACAAAATAGAAACAAGAGATTGGACCTCCCTTCTGCATATATATGTGTGTGTATATATATATATAAAAAACCTTAAAAAAAAAAGACAACCCATGAAGAAGCCCACTAAGCTGCAAGCAATATTTTAAATAGGACAGAAGAACAGACCGTGGTGTCTCCCCACCCCCAATGCCTTGTGATAAGATTAATTCATTGACCATAAGGAAAGTGTCTTAACAGTGTTTCCAGTTGCTTTTACAAAGATAAATCATTAGGAGAAAAAGCTGAGATGACAGAAAAAAATGCAGGGTGGAGAATAAAATACAAGTGGAGATAAAATGTAACCAGTAGAAATCACAGACTAGTGAGTAACATTAGAAATAAAGACTCAAAGGGCCTAGCGACCTCTGGAGTTACCTTGGCTGTTCAGAACTCCAGGAGACAAAGGTGAAGAGACAAAGTGGAACATGCCTTTGGTCTTCTGAGGTCCTTTCCAACTCTTGATTCCTGAACCTACAGGATAATTCTATGGCTTTTCCAGAAAAACTTCACAACAGTGTATCTATAAATTTTATAGTCCCAATGATTTTGTTGGGACCAAAAAGTATGGTTGGTTTTCTAACTCTTTTATTTCCAGACTATTTGCCAGAAAAATTACTTGCACTTACAGATTCACTCAGTGTATGAGTAGCAATTTCCCCATAACCCTGCCAACATTGAACTGTCATATCAGTTAAAGTGTAAAGCAGGTATCACAAATAGGTGGTGAGAAGGGCTCAGAAACCACCTGAGCTAACAATTTATTTTCGAATTAGCAAGATGGCAAAGGACAGTACTAGATTAAGAGTACGAACTGAATGTGTGTAGAAGTTCTGTTCTGTCACCTCTCAAAACAGAGACGAGTAGTTAATACCAAATTGTGCTCTAGGACCTTGACATGAAATCTGAGACATTATACCAAAAGCATTTGTAGGTGAAACTGGAAGAACCACCAAATGGACCTGAATTGGGACAGGCCTGCCAAATGTCATCCATGACAGGGACAACACCATATTTGTATTCTAACACCACAATCTCCACTGTCATACCTGTTTATATAGTTAATACTTAGAAAGTGATTTGTGAATATTCTTTATTTTGATTATAACTGTGATTTAGGTACTACCAGTATTATTTCTTTACAGATGTAGGAATTGAGGCTCAGAGTAGCAGATATATTTTCTATGCACACTTAAGTGGAGAGGTAGACCATGTAATGAGTGGTAGTGTCACTTATGAAATTAACATCAGGAAGAGGGCTGAACTTGATCTGATATATATCTATATATATATAGATATATATACATATGTAAAATAATGCCCTGTTGAAAGAATAAACTTTTAAAAAGAGTAATCTATTTTTTTGAAATATAAATGGAAGTCACCAGCTAATAGAATAATTTACTTTTTCATCTCTGTGAAATCTTTATGAGAATGGTATAAACACAAACATCAGGTGTCCTTACAAACAAAAGAGAAGGACAGGGTAGGCTTTTTAAATTTTTGGGGGGGGGCAGGAATGACATCTTGAGGGCCAAACAGTGGACTACAGACAACTCTAGATTTAAAAAAAAAAAGCATTTGACGGCAGAAAAATTTACAAGATAAAAGATTCCACACCCAACAAAGTATTTCCCTTTTCTCAAATTATATGTTTCCTTTGAAATATGACTATGGAAATACTTTTGTTCAACAGTTCATTGAGTGCTAATATCAATTGAGACATGAAATAGGGAGATATGATGACCAAGAGGTGTTTTTTTGTTATAGATTCTCTATGGATGGTACTTTTACAAATACAAATATTGGCAGGTGACATTTTAATAATTTGTTTCCAGCCTTAGAATCCAAGTCCTTAAGTCTATAGATATCAGCTAAAACACACACATTGGAAACAGATTAAGACAATTAGGTATAAAA